CAGTTCCCTTGAAAAGTTCCAATCGACTTGCCACACAAACGATACAAGTGGAACCGGTTTCATAAAGATTGCGTGGCCACGCGAGTTCTTCTGTGTTTATTTCGTTCGCCGGCACGATCTTCCAAGCCTTCGTCACTTCTTCAAACGGATTAGGGATTTAATAAGAAAACGCGTCTAGCGATTTTCACCGCAAGGACGAAATGATAACTCGTTCGATGTTTTTCTTTCGTATTCGGATATGTCACGTCCGAGTTTTCGGCGCGTGACAAAATGGAAGCTCGTACGAAACTTTTGCGCGCCGAGAAACAGGACTGTGTAGAAAATTATTCGATCGGGTTATTATCCAAACTGCTATCAACACTTTGCACTCGAGATGTTTCTTAACATTCTATTGCCACGAATTCTAAGCTATCGAGGTTTGAGAATAAGGTCACCTTTCTCGACACTTCGAGAAATTAAACAAATTAAACCTAAAGAAACATTAGGTACTGCAGATTTGCTGCGTGAAACCTGATAGTGACCGAGAACCACCTGTCGAGTGCGAAAGGTCAATTTCTACATTTCTTTTTTTTCTTTAAGTGACTCGAAATTAGTCTGCTATTATAACAATATAAAATCCTTATACAGCAATACTTGAACTTCGGAAACAATTTTCTGCCACGATCGCCAAATTTTTACTATAGTGGTATCGTAGACCAAGAATTGAATTGCAGATTAGAATGATATTAGGCATTGTAGATTTGCTGCGCGAAACCTGATAGTGACTGAGAGCCACCTGTCGAGTGCAAAGGGTTAATTTTGCAATAATTAACGACGATCGAAACAATTAAAGTTTGTATCCAGCTACAATTCTTCCTTAAATTGTTATAAATTACAATCGAGATGCTTGTTGTTAGACGGTATCGAAATAAGTATCGCATAAATGTGATTCCCCACTTAATATGGCACAATCACGTCGACGAATGCAAAGTTTGTCAGATAAGGCACACTGTGTGCATATTTCTTTTTAAATTTTGTCGAGGTCGCGCTTTTTTACGATACTGTACAAAATGGCGTAATACCGAACACGAGGACTTTAACGACACCTTATCGTTAACACAGTGGATGTAGAAAGTATTCCTACGCCGATCAATTTCGAAAAGAAACTATGTAAAATTGTAATTCATTAACTATTTATAAACAATGATATTCTAGATATTCTCGGAGATCTCTGAGATGGATAGATAACAAAAAAAAAAAAAAATAGCTATTTATATAAGTTACGAAATTAACAAGAAAAAGAACAATTAATCGATAGAAATATCGAAGCAATAAGTATTCGCACAACTGTTTAATTTTTAAAACTTCGTGAAAAGAGAAGACATTTACATTAATTTACATCCATTAATATAATATAATTAATTATATTTACTGATAGTAGTAGATCAAAATAGATTATAAAAAAAGAATTGAAGGAATTGCAATTTCACCCAAAAGTTTTTCGGGAAATTGATCGACGTTCGAATACATTCTACACCCACTGTATACTGGAAGCTTCGATCGCAGGGAATATTATTTTATACGATGATAAATGTTGCGGCTCGCCGAGGGATATCGATTTTCTAATGTCTACCGGAGTCCTATTTGGGTCTTGTTACACAGGTAAACAGGTAACGGTAAATTCAACTCGATTCGTTAGCTGCATTCTCGGGCGAGGTGGGATTTTTAAAAAGTCGAACGATCAAGGAAAAGCACACGTTACGAGTCGCCTAAGTACCGAGGGAAGGAGAAAGCAGTGCCAAGAGATGTTTCGATGCAAAAACGGCCGCTATCTCGGCTAGGTGTTTGTAACAGTACCAGAATTAGATCGAGAATGGCGTGTTCGAATACCAACAAACGTTCACGGAATTTCCTGTACTAATCAATGCAGCGAATTTAATTAACACACTTCTAAAGACGATTTCCTGATACTGATTCACTAATTGAAATAATTTTTTTTATCCCTAAAATGCATCGACCTAGCAAAATTTAAATATACACAGGCATTTTTCGACTTGAAACTAGTAGTGACCTTGAAGGAAGTCGTACGAATACTTTCAAGGTCGCGGAAATTGCATCATCGTACAATTCTTTCGGTGTTGTATCTTCCACGACAAATTTTTGTTACTCGAAATTACCAATAGTGACGATTAAACGTTACGAAAACTAGCAGTTAATCGAAACTGCATTTTTTCAAGAAAGACAAGAAAAAAAAAAAGACTAATGCTCGGACTTTGAGAATACACTCTACTCGACGAAGAGAATCGTACAGTTTTCTAAACTATAAACTTTGTACCGTATAGTCTGGGGAAAAGAAATTCAATTGCCTCCATTCATCCCACGGAACAATAGCGAGTGAGAGTGTGCACGTCTGACTTTATGGAATTGTTTAGTTAACGCGAAGCTTCGGAATGGTAGCAAACGCTACGGTTACGTTCTGAATATTTTTTTACTTCTATATTGCTCTGTATCGTTCTAACATATTCCTCTGAATGAATATATTTTACTCAAACTCGAATCGAATAATTTGAACCAAAAAAAAATTACACGTCGAATCGAGTAACAATGTCACTTTGTAAAAACGTTACTTCGCCAGCTGTTATTAACAAAAGGAAATCTTCGAAGTAGACTTACGAAAAATATTGAAAATTCTTCTAAAAAAATGTAAACCGAACTCCCGACAAAATTAATTAAAACTCTTCGTTTAGAAGCTTGCGACTGTTAAAAGCGAAACAAATTTCGGTCTGTTTTTCCCAAAAGTCGATTCTCGCCAAACTTGATTACATTTCGCTAATGCTCGAGGTTATCGCGCCTTCGCTTCAAAACATTGAACAAAAAATGTTTCTCGTACTAATACAGACTTTCGCGTGTCCCGAGTCGAACACTAACATTACGGAATAATAATATTACGGAAAGGAATTGATTACAAAAACAGTTTGTATCTTATCGCGCATTATTTCGCGTGCTAAACAAAATTTGTTCGTGTCGAATAACCAAATGTTTTTTTCAATTTGCTATTATTCCCTTTAAGAAACAAGAATGTAAATTTCGTATCAACTTAACGGAACATTTTTTCCCGTATGCATCCAAAAACAAGCTTAACACGTTCGCGGCGGCGTGTACCACCGGTGGCTCACGCATATATGATCCATCGGGCGGCGTGTGCCACCGGTGGCTCACGTTCGTGTGTCTATCAGATGCCGTGTACCACAGCGCCGCCCTATGCCGAGAAACACAAATAGCAGTGCCGCGCCGGCGTGAACATATCAAAGCATTAACATCCGGGAAGGGTAAACGTTACCTAGATACCTCAAAAGGATCCCAGAAGGTCCTCGTAATTTTCTAAAGGATAATCCCGTAACGGTTACAAGAGAATCTTTTTTACCGCCCCAACGGTCAAGGTTACAAGGAAAATCACTTACACAGTCTACTAGCGGCGACCTGCGCGACACCGGCGAGGACCAGGATCAGCGGAAGTCCTGCGAACACCGAGCACAGAGTCCTCGCTCCAAAACTATTCCCGGAAGCGAGTTCATAACCGAGGAGAAGCGTGCGTGGGCGGCGTGGCCCCGCAGCCACTGCCATCGCACCGTCCTTCTCACTGCACACTGTTCGACACTACAACTATATTTTCTCCACTGTTCCGCCGGCGACTCCTGTGGATGCACCCTTCGACAAGGACGGAAACGTTACACGTTCGAGATGCACTCCGGTCCACCGGGATCGACTCCTCTCGATCGAGACTCGCGATAGATTCTTTGCAACCACGCGCGTTTTACTATTGTCCGAACGAAGACCGCGGGGATAGATAAATAAAAAAAAAAAAAATAGGAGGAAAGGTGAGGGGGAAAAAAGAAACGCGAGAGAAGCACGAGAGCGACTCTTGGTTTGATCAGTTCATGGCGCGCGCGTACGAGGTTCACGCGGCCGCGGTCAGCGAACGACTAACTGTGGGCCAGGCGCTTTTGTCTAATGGAGGGGTGGCTTCCTGGGACCGCACATGCGCGGAGAGGGGGTCCTGCCTGAGGACCACGTGGGGCGAGTCCTGTACCTGCAGCGGTATTTGGAGATGGAATACCTGCGATGTTGCCACACGGATGTTAAACAAATCTTAAAGGGAATAATGGATCGTTATTCGAAATTATAATCAGCGGGTTCAATTACAGTGGATGTAGAAAGTATTCGTACACCGATCAATTTCCATAAAAACTATGTGAAATTGTAACTTCTTAACTTTTTTTTTTTTTTTTTTATAATCAATGATATTTTACATATTCTCGGAAGTCTCTAAGATAGATATAGTCCAAACAACATTTACTAGTTGATATAATTTGTGAAATTAACAAAAAGATGCGAAAAGTGGGTGAAAGTATAGAAGCAATAAGTATTTGTACGATTCTTATGACGAACCATTTACAGCAGACACGTTACGTTACGTTTGTAACGTAAACACATTAATTTATTGCTCCGTGCGAATTAGAAAACATCAAATTTCCAGTAAAGTACTTTTAAACAGTTGTCCGAATACTTGTTGCTTCAACATTTCTGTCGATTAATTCCTTTTTTCTTGTTAATTTCCCAACTTGCGTAAATAGCAATTTTTTTTTTGTAATCTATCTATTTGAGACATTTCCGAGAATATGTAGAATGTCATTGTTTATAAAAAATAAGTTAATAAATTACAATTTTACACAGTTTTTTTTGGAAATTGATCGGTGTACGAATACTTTCTATACCCACTGTATTTAGTCTACGTAAAAGTCGTAGGAGGAATTCAAAGGAATATACAAGTATTGGGTTGTCCGGAAAGTCCATGCCGATTTTTGATAGGTAGTCTAGGTCTGAATATGTCGAAATGGCTGAAAACAAATAACATATATATGTACATCCCTTAAAAGATGGAAAGATTACATATAAATAAATATACATATATACATATACATATACATATACATATTTATTTATTTATATGTATATATAAATTTATGTATACATATATACATATAAATAAATGTATATTACAATTAAAACGTGCCTTGAAGTTTTCTTAAAAATTGGCACGAACTTTCTGGACTAATACATGCTCCAAATTCATTGGTTCCACTGAGATTGCGGAAAGAGAAAAGTTTGGAATGGTCCTGTTCCTGAGTCAGGTAAGTTCATCTTGTTTGCATTCATCTCCGTTGAGTTTGTTTCCAGGTAGAATAATTTGCGCATTTTTTACTCAGCCAAGGCACGCTGAAGGAAAACAGTATAATTATAAAAATTGTGCACTTAATGAGCTAGAATTAAATCGTTCTAATAAAATAAAAGTTCACTTCCAAGTGAATGAAAATGAATTTCAATTGAAATATAAAGCAAAGCAGAAACGAATGAGACTGTCGAAAAAGAAAACCGAAGAGAAAAGCCGTATTTAAGATCTATTTCTGAACCCATTCGGGTTATTCATTAACCGCGTCGTCGGGAGAAAAAAATAATAGTACCGGTTACGCCGTACCACGTCGTGCCAATGCGGAGAGGAAGGTTTGTGAATCATTTGAATTCTTGGTGAGCGGTGGACAATTTAGAAAAATTTATTCCTGCCGAGAACGGCGTCTTCACCGTCTCTTGGGACGACGTGTGTGTTCTTTCACCTGTTATCTCACTGTTCATTGGCTGCGCGCCTTACGGGTGCAAGTCGACCAGCACAATAAAGGTCTCTCTCTGTCCCTCTTCTTCCCCGCCGCTTCATCATCTGGCGGGAACCCCTTCCTCTGCACGCGGGCGCACGAGCGGTGACCTTGTGGCATTTGGTACCTGGCCGTACCAGTCGGCGCACGACACCGCCTGATGTATAGTGATGGGCACGATTCGAGTCCCTGGATCATAAACTATCTATACAATCAAATGTATAAATACTGTATAATACTGTATAAATTCTATTATAATACCATGAGTACTGTTTACTCTATCCAAACTTTAGACTATTTTCTATAGTGCATGAGTCCTCAACGTGGTCACTAGTTTTGATGAGCTCCATTAATATAATTCCATACTACATCCATTTAGTTGTTTGAAAACCACGTCGTTGTTTCATGATCCTGTCTGATGAATTTTTCTATTTGAATTTCATATACTTTGAACGTTTGTCAGTATTTAGAATATACATCGTATCATCACACATTCAGTGCGACATTTTAAAAATGTAAACGACAATAATATAGCGACCGCTCCCTGGTACCAGCCAATCACTGAAACATACTAATAATAATAGCGCCAGTGGCGCCATCGGTGGTAAATCGCTCAAGCTTCTAATACTAATAGTTCTCACCGTTTCTATAAGAGAGCGCCACAGATATTAAACCAGCGCCATCTGATAGTTACAATGGAAATTATTTTCACTACAAACTTGGTCATTTCCCCACCGATGGCGCTACTGATACCTTCTAATAATTAATTAAATGTGTAATTAATAAGGATTCTTTTATCTATAACACTACGTACTAAGAGTATTTATACGTGGTAAATCAATTTTTATTTTAACGTGTGTAAACATAGAAGAAAAATTAAGAATGAGCAGTCTGCTTAGTGATCTATAAAACAAACGCTTAAAGTGTTAAAACGACACTTCAACAATACCGTTAAGAATTAATAAAACTTAAAATATAAATACTTTTACATTATATTACAAATAACAGTACGTTAGAATCATCATGAAAGATATATCACTTATACGTTCTCTTTTTCTACAGTTGCCTCAATTTAAGTAGAACCTTCGTCTCAAGTCCTTTCAGTGTTAATAACAAAATACTTGAGCGAATTTCAGAATCATTGCATTATAATAAAGACACTCCGTCTACTAGAAAAAAAGATAATTATCAAACATTGAATACATCAGCATTTTCTATTAAGTTTCTCACTCAGTTTAATACTCGAATACTCTCATATTTATTCACAGTTTCATCGTACCATCATTCTTTTAAATCACTTCTAAACGTCAACTGTATTTATGACATTTACCTTTAAATATAACAGTGCCACTACCTTGCACACCTCTGTGTCTTGCTCACGGAACAGAGTCAATATGCACGAAAATCTAAACACGTGCTTTTCACAGACAGATATATGTTAAAACATGACAAAATCACATTATTATACTAAACAGCTGTCAACAGCTATGTAAACTAGATTGGTCCATGTCTTATTCCAAATAACAATCACCTACGCAACAGTACCAGAACTGTAAAAACAAAGAGAAGTATGCTATCAAACCTAACCAAACACAACAATTACCAGTTACAAAACATTCATATCACACGTTCTAAGTGATGTTTACGTTAACAACAGTACCGACACCTTTAAAAACAAATCATATATATATATATATATATCCCCACTTGAGAAATTAATTCTCAATATCATAACCTGAAATGATCAACTATCATGACTCTATTTCGTGAACAAAGTAACAGTTTTCTATTTTACATGTCTCGTGCACAGAAAGTATGGAATCTATAACGGAGAACAGTATTTCTCAAACATTACCATCCCGGTCATTTTAATTTTTCAAAAAGGGGAACAGACATTTTATACACTCCATAGAAACCTGTTCAACGGTTAAAGAGTACCTACAGAATATCTTAGCAGTCGGATGATTTCAAAGGGGAACAAGCTGATATCGAAAGTCGGTCCAAGCGCGGGTTTGAAAGGTTAACAGAACGTCTTTTCTCCTTCGTTTCTACGCCACGTCGATGCATCCACAGGGCAGAGATCTATCCAATGTCCTGACCTTTCAAACTCGCGCTCAGACCGACGTTACTCAGCCAGGCATCTTGCGACTCGTCACACCCAGCTCGCAAGTGATCTGTTTTTGTTCACGATCAAGCATCAGAGTCCTGGCACTCAGAAAGGAAAGATCGGGCAATCTGTTCAGAACTCGAGCGGTCTCAGGTTGTATTGGCATAACTCGACCAAATCTGTCCATCACCACGTGTTCACATCCAGATGATCTCTTATTCACCGACTTCCCGCGATAAATATCACCTAAATTCGATTTTTCAGGTCCCAAGTATTGTCTGTCAGTTGTTATGTGCTTCTCCATTTGTAGAAATTGTTTCTCTGTTGGAGCACTTCTTGGAGGCCCAGGGTTCCTCAGTTTGTGGCCCAAGTCAAGATCCGTCTTCCTCTTCCAGTCCGCCGCACGAGGCGTTGGCAAAGGTTCTATCATCTTTGAAGGCTGCAAACGTTTTTGCATCTTCATAACATCGTTCTCCAAAGAGTCGGATGTCTCTGCCTTTGAAACTGAGTTGCTTCGCTCCCGACCATTTATATCCGAGATATCTGTTATGCGAAGAAAATCTGTATTTAAAACACGACAGTTCTGCATGTTCAGAACAATTTTGTACAGAAAAGTTTAAGTGCTTTCAAGGTTTCTATCTACAACATACAAGTTATGGAACACTAAGCTCAACACTTACGGTGATTTACAAGATTCCTGGCGCTACTTGGTCGACGATAGGATTCAGAGTTGGCGGAACTGTGGGATGTTAGTAGAGGATCGAAAGGACATAGAAAGTCCAAAGGTAGAAGAGCGGATAACCCACCACCTAGATTGCACGATTCACCAAAGAATTTACCCAGTGATTAGCACACTTAGCAATAAATTAATGCAAATATCACAGAAGCAAAGTAACTAATAAAAATCAGTAAAAATTTCTAATTCGAATTTCTTAATATTTGCTTTTCTATTTACATCATGATGCTTTGTGAAAAGAAGCAGCGATAAGGCAAAAATAAAATAATGACGCAAACACACATTACATTTAATACTTACTAGCTTCTAAAGGATTAACAAGCCCAGAACTATTCCAATCGAATTGAGCAGCAGGTACTTCCTAATGGGGTTTTATTGTTATTAATTATAATCGAAACGCGTTGTGTGGAGTGTTGTTTATAACTTTCGAAAGTATCCACGGCAATTGAACTTTTGAATCATTATTCTTCAAAAGTACATTAACTTCAATGTCTCTGTCTATCAATTTTTTTATACTAACGTAAAGTAACGAAACTACTGCATCAATTAGTAAATAAACACTTACTTCGGAGTGGATTGAACCTTGAGTTTTACTGGTACTTATTGTGGCAACTGGTTGAATATCAGTTGGGGCTTTAATTGGTTCCAATGGAGTAAAACCAAGGTTTGCTGCAAATCTGGGAATGTTCGGGTTCCACCTTGGTCCAAACAACTTAAAAAAAAATTATGCAAAGATAAATATTTTATTGTTGATTATAATATATACATATATACACTTACTATATTGCGAGAGTCAATGCCAAGAGAGTTTAACAACATGTTGTTACTAGTGCTGTTTGCCCATTGGTATGTCAAAGCGTTCGTTTCCTCTACGCTCTTGACGCTCTGCCATATGTAATCTGTTTGGGTTATCAGTGACTGTACTTGAATTTCGCATTGCTCCAAATTCGTTGGAAACAATGTCGTTATTATATCTTCTATTTTGTTAACAGCCTGCACAAATTTTTTCAATAAAACATTAAGATTATGGAAGAGGAAAAATTAAATTTTTATAACAATTTAATACAAAAAACTTACATTTTTATTTTCTATCCGAGAAATTGATTCCTTCAAGCTGAATGGTGGATGTTCCACCACAGGCTGCTCAAGAGCTGTTTCAAAGTCGTTGAAGTCGCCAAAATCATCATCCTGGTCTTTATCAGGTACACTTATTAGATCAACTTTTTCAGCCTGTGCTTGATTGGAGAAATTAGTAAAATCTCCAAAATCGTCATCTTCGACTATCGTTCCATCCCTCTTTTCACTAGCCTGTGCTAAACTATCGTGAAACTCTGATTGAAAGGGTTTGGCAGAAACCTCAAGCTCTGAATCACATTTGAAGTCGCCAAACTCCTCGCTCGAACAACTGAAGTTATCTGGCAGTGGTGCAGAGGCTAAAAAATTGTCTTCATGGAAGCTTTTGTTTTCAGAGAACTCATAGAAACTCCCAACAACTTCATCTTCGGTATTCTTCAATTCATTTATATTTAAACAATTCTCTTCAATACGCTCAGAGTCTTCCGAGTATTTAACGTTCACGGATTTAGAATCATTGTTCTCAAACTCAAAGACATCCTTTTCATTAGGTACATTTGGGTTTTCTACACATCGGGTTTCTTCTATTGACTTTTCACTTTTGACATCTAAACTTACATCTTGTTTATCGTCTAAATCGAAATTTTTGGTTACCGCGTTCAAATTATTTGATACATCTTCTGTTTCTTGGAATTTTAAGTAATTGGTTTTTGGAATGTCTGTAGTAGGTACATTGGTGTTGGATATCCAATTCTGAGAGTCTTCGAATTGTTCATAATCATAGAAATCATCATCCAAAGGTTGTATCACATCTGGAGCAATGGTTGGATCTCCCAAATCCAGACTCAATGGTTCTATGTCCTCCAAATTATTAGGAGAAGCTTCCTGTTCACTCTCCCCAAAACTACTACTTTCACTTGCTATATCAATTTTTGGAACTCCTTTGTCTATGCTATTTTCAGTGTCACTGTTGTTTACGTTTTCCAAATTCTTTTTATAATCACTCGTTTCACTGGGGTTTTCCTCTGTTTTCAGCTTAATGTTGCTTATACTATTCTCTGTCTTTTCAAGAATTAAAAGGTCCTCTGAAATGGTTGATTTTAAGACAGTAGGTTGAGAAATCTTGTTGGATGTTTCTGGAATGCCATTTACTTTTGGTGAAGTATTTTGGGATGTTAAAGGTGTCTGGATAGGTGTCATAAGCTTATGCGGTGATTCTGATGATATGGACAGTCCTAGAATGTAATCATTAATATGTTAATGACAAAAGAAGCTTGATAATCCATTCACTCCAGATTTTGTTGTCAAGAGAAGTAAAGATAAATAAAAATTACCATCTATGCCTCCAGTTGTAAAGTCCCCGAACTCATCTTCCTCAGAATCTCCAAAATTATCCAATGGAGGAGGTGTAGAACTAACCAGTGGTGGAATCGCCATCCTTCACCAATATTCTAAAATGTACAATATGTTTAGTATAATATATATTTTAGAGCACTGTTTTATTTCACTCGAAAAACCCAGCATAAAAACTATAGATTTCTTTGTAACATCTTATTTTCCTTTAAATCTTTCACGTTGTATGTCTGATTTCATTAAAATTATTCACACTTGAAATAATATTAATCATACAAAATGTCTTTGTCTACTTTTCCACGCACATTTGGTACATCTTGTTTACTCCGAATAGGTCAAACTTGAAATTATTCGCAATGTTTACTATTTTTTTTAAAAAATGATTCAAGCATTTCCAAAGGAAATTAAAAATTCCATCTTTTACCGCGACAAAATACATATGTCAAATTAAACTAGGTTAGGTACGCATCAGAACAATAATGTAAAAATATTTAGCGAAATAATGTTAAGACGTGTCTATAAAATTGATATGGACGCTAAGAATTGTACCCTCGTAAACAGAAATTAAGTTGTTAAACATTTAAAGGAAAAATCAAGATCAAGAGACACCGACTTACAAAAGAATAGGTAGGTACGTGGAGCACCTGTCGTAATTGCTTTATCTGTCGTTCGTCATTGTTTCGGTTTTGTTCGAGTCAGTCCTCATCGACACACGCAATCTTGATTAATGACGATTGCAACTTGTTAGAACCATGAGGTTCAGTGAATCACGAGATCATCAGTCGAATCACCTGTTCTATACGCAAGTACATGTTGCTTCTGCGCACCTGTTCGTACCTGTCGTTGCGCGTCTTTTCAAATCCTTTAGATTATCTAAGAATATTCAAAACTCCATATATTAACAAAAATAATTGTTTTCACTTTAATATTTGTGTATTGAAATATAATTATATTATATATTACATCAATAGGGATGTTCATTTTATTAATTTTACACAAAATGTTTATTCCACTATTTCATACTATAATATATTTAAATACTATTTTATTTTAATCTATTTTGCATCTTGCTTAACAGCATGTTGTGTACGCCTATGCTTTCTCATGTCCCCCTTCTGTCTGAAACATCTTCCACAAACATCACAGGCATGTGGTTTCTCACCAGTATGAATTTTTATATGATTATTTAAAGCTTCCGTTCGAGTGAACGCTTTCTCGCAATAGTGACATTTGTATCTGCGATCTCCTCGGTGTATCAGTCTGTGTTGATAAAATACAGACCCTGTTAAAAAGGCTTTGTTACAGACTTCGCACTTGAATGGTCGTTCTCTGGTGTGCTTCTTCCGAGTATGATCCGCTAAGTCAGGTTTTATCGTAAACCTTTGATCGCAGTACTCGCAAGCGTATGGTTTGACACCCATGTGGAACCTCTTATGAGTCCACATATGACTCGATTGAGTGTAGCTTTTTCCACAAATGTTGCAGACATATCTGTGTGAAAATAAAACATTTTGTTATTTTCAATATAATATGAAGAAAATTATTCTGTACGTACGGTCTCAGTCCACTGTGTCTTCTTTTGTGCGCATTCAAAGAATTTGCAGTTGGTAAAAGGCTGCCACAGATATCACAAGGAAATTTTGAGCACCTATATTTCCCATGCTCTTGAATTTCTTCGATACATGCGAAAACGTTTCCGCAAAGTTCGCAAATGAATTTCTGTTCGCCTTTCTCAGTCTTCCTGGGTAAAGGCTGATGCCTTTTTTGCTTGTGTTTGTATAGCAGCGATAATTCTTTAACATCTCTGTCACAGATTTCACACAAAAATACCACCAGAACTTTAAATATTCTCGGATGTTCTTTCCAGTGAAGAACAGCTTCTGCAAAGGACTTAAACAGGGAACCACACCAATTACATGAATATGGTTTTTCCACTACATGCGATTCCCGATGGATTTTTAGATGATCCATGTCTACAAAGTGGCTACTACAGAATTCACAGTGGTACAGCTTCAATGCTTGCAATTCTTCGATAAGACTAATTTTTTCCTCGTGTATTTTACAATGCTCGTCTGCAATCTCGCAGGTTCCGAAAGCTTCTCCGCAACGAACGCATCTTTATAAAAAATAAATTGTTTTTATGCCTTTACATGGTACAAAGCATTGTAATAGAAAAAAAATAGCCAAAAATATACCACCTCCAAATTGTTTGACTATTTTCTAAAATTATGCTGTGACTGGCTATATGTTTATTCAACCTTGACTTTTGGGTAAAGCTCTTGGAGCATTCAGGACATTTGTATGGCTTTTCTGGAAGATGAGTTACCACATGACGCTTTAAGGTATACCTAATAGAAAGATTAACATGTATCGTTCTATTTTAAGTAAATAATTGTAAAATTTACATGAAGATTTACGTAATATCACTATAAATGTCGCCTCACGTACCCATCACAAAATCCCTTAGAGCACACCTCGCACACGTGAGGTCTTGTTTTTCCGTCGACGCAAACATGTTTCTTTAAACCATCTTGATTCTCAAACAGTTTTCCACATTGCAAGCAGGACACTCTACCATCTTTGCAGTGATACCTGAAAATAAAATTAAGTAGAAGTTAGTAGAAGTTTTTAGATGTATTAGTCGTATAGTTAACTTCTCAAAATAAAATGTATTGGATTGTCAATACCTCTTATAATGATAAAACAATTTTAGTTCCTTTCCAAAAGTAATTTTACAAATTTCACAGTATAATGCTTTTGCATCTTTATGAAACTGTTGATGGAATTGTAACCGCTCTTCAAATGTGAAAGTAGCTAAGCATATGTCACACTTATATGGTTTAGAAGTACATTGTAAGTTGGGTTTACATTTATGCTCATCTAAATTCTCCTTTGTGTGATAGAGATTCATGCAAGCTCCACATTTTAAGTACTTTTGTTTTGTTCCCAAACAAAACAATGTTATAGATTCACTGTCAGCTTCTTCATCAGCTCTAAGCACGCTTGGAATTTGTTCTTCGTCGCTGCTTTCCAATACAATGTCACTATCATACAACTCTGTGTCTTTTCTATTTTCTTTGTCTTCTTCAAAGATTCTCATACGTCCTTCTATACACAATGGACAGACATCAGTGTTTTCTAAACAGTTTCTATCACTTTCATTATTCTTGAAAGAATGTTTCTGCTTCAAAATTTCAAGGAGAGTTTCTTCAGCTCTGATACACTGAGCATCAAATTCATTGCACCAGGTGATCTTTTCAACGCACATTGGACAGAGTTGTTTTGGAAGAGGATCAGTTTTCTTCACCTTGATGCTTAGACATGTATTTATTTTATCTAAGAGTCTCAAAGATTCTCCAAATTCAGAATAAATATAAATAGGACTAGGAGTTTCTCCTGCACATAATCGGCAAAGAGATTTAAAATGATTTTGCTTCTCAGAATTAGGGATGAAATCAAGGATTTCATTTGAGGAAAGTGGTTCATCCTGTGACCAAATTATTGATCCCTCAAAATCATCAATCTCATCTTCATGTTCGCTCAAAGTACTAATTGATTCTGCTTGTCCGATATTCATTTTACAAAGCTGTATTTTTTCTTCTTTAATTTGAAATTCAGTGTCAGAAGACAGGTATAATTTATATCTCTCTTATATATTTTAATTCCAAGAATTTGAGTAATTATCTGTTTGCTCGTTTACAACGTTATTTATTACTGTTTACTATTTACTACATTAAAAAAGTATTTTTATTGTTGAACTGTAAGTAGTAGAAATTATTAGCATTCTACTTCATTAGGGGGTGTACCTCAAGTACTTCGGAGTCGATTACCTCGTTCCTTGGAAATGATAAGGGAACAATTCTTTCATGGCAAACTAAACTTGAGTCTTTGAACTGTGAAAACAATTCGACAGAGCGCCTACGTTTATGCACGTTTATGTATGAAGAGTATATTCAACAAACATGCTGTCATGACAACCGAAACAAAAACGAATCTCACATATACTTTATTTGTAATACCTTACATTCAAATAAAATGATCAAATACAATACAATAATTTATTATTAAGAATCATGGATATTAAATTATTTTCTCCTAGTTTATTAGAATATTAAATACATATAATATAACAGTTCTTCTGTAATAAACTAATAAGAACACCTCAATTCATATGGTCATATTTTAAAATAATTATTATACAATATTATATAACAATGCTCTACTTAGTTATTATAACATATTGCAGTTCATTCCTTATTCTATGTTCTCTCAATCTCCTGCAATGTCTTAGAACTGTTATTAAATTTAATTTAATTTTGTTCAACTTAGATTTTGTTTCTTTCTCATAATCTTCTTTGGTAAAAAAGTACACACATTCTGAAACATAAAGGATTTTACCTTATCGCTAATAATTAAATAAAATGTCATATATGATTTACAAAAAATTACCATTCTCACTGCAAACAGACAATTCCTGTTTTTTGTAATGTAGATACAGACTCAGCTCCCCTTGCTTTCTAGCATGAGCTTTTCCCAACGACAGGAGTGTGTACTTCTTTTTTAATATGCGATTTATGCAGTCTATTAAGTTATTCACAGTATCTATGGATTGCCTCCCGATAATATACTTTGGAATTCCACTGAATTCATCCTGGGTTATTAAAGGCACTACAGGATAAACTTCAGCCTCATTAAATAATGCTTTCTTGCAGTCTATTATAGGAGATTCATATTGGTTTCTATCAGTATGTAATTCTGAGATTCTTGGAAAATCTTCCTTATGAATGATGTTCAAGGAATTGGCCTTGATCTGATAATCGCTAATTAGCTGTGATGGGATATTTCTTTCTATATGCATATTTTTATCATGTAACATCTTCATAAGCAATAGAAGTTCCTAGATTTGTTTAGTATAATATGGATATAATACTTGATAAAATTAATAGAATATTGTATAAAAATATTGTTTAAAATTCTTACTTTACATTGATCATTTTGTTCCCTTGCTTCATTTAACATTTTTCTAAGGGCTATGATGCCATCAGACATCTGCAAGACTTCTGCGCGCATATGAAATAGCTCTTCTTTAATTGCATCTTTACCTGGAAAAAATGATATAGAAAACCTTGGGAAAGTCTATGGAAGAAATGAAAAAAAAAATACACGGAACGCAATAGCCTTCCAAAACAATAAGAATATGAATATGATATTTAAATTCGATCTTACTCTTAATAAATATTGTGGCAGTCTGCAGATCTCGTAACTTGTCACATTGTCTTTCTAAAATTTCTTCGAAAGATTGGACTGCCGCCATTTCAAAAATGTTGTTTATTTATTTGACAAATGTATCAAAGTGCACGAATTGACGCTATTTTCAATTCAACATAAAAATTTGAGACTATAGGTTGATAAACATAACTATTTGTAGTGAAAAATAACGTATTTTATCGTATATTGCGAATAACGGTTTGACAAATTTTGAATTAAAGTTAGCGTTTCTCGTGTAGGTGGCACCATAATCCGCTACTGCTCCGACATGTTTTATTATCGATAAGCAGTATCGCAACTATATTCACATATATAGTTCTTAGAAGACGCATGCGTATTCAGAACCTGAAAAACGCTATAGTTTCGTCTTCGTTGTATAGTTAACAACCATAAAAGTAATGTCTATTGCTTGTGCTTCTACCATCTACGACCATCGATCGCTCATTTCTAATTAGTTCGACGGTTTATTTATCAATATCGACTGAAAACATTTCGTAGACATTGGAATTATTCAGTAAATCTTACATGAGATATGCAGTTATCCTTCGTTCCTTAATTAAGTGAAGGAAAACATGACGACAGCACTGTATCTGGAACATTATTTAGACAGTAAGTGTACCATTTTTCCCCCCAATAAACTAAGTAGCTACAACAGCATCTCTTACATACTCTATAAACTCGTACACGACAGACGAAAATAAAGAAATTCTGAAACTGGTTGCCGCAAACTTCCATCATTAAGACAAGGATAAAAATTGGAAAAATCATTTTGTTTGGAACCTTTCAGGTTTGGAACATTTACCTATAGAACTGCAAAGAAACTTCACATTAATGCGAGATCTAGATGCCAGAGCACAAGGATTAATGAAAGACATTGACAAATTGGCAGATGACTATTTAAAGAATTTAAAGAAAGAATCTCCAGAGAAGAAGAAAGAGCAATTGACTCATATTCAAAATCTATTCAACAAAGCAAAAGAATATGGAGACGATAAAGTTCAACTAGCAATACAAACATACGAACTAGTAGATAAGCATATTAGAAGGCTAGATTCTGACTTGGCAAGGTTTGAAGCTGAAATACAGGATAAGGCTTTGAATAGTAGTAGAGCCCAGGAAGAGAATAATGCTAGCAAAAAGGGTAGGAAGAAATTAAAAGAAAAGGAGAAACGAAAGAAAGGTGCTGCAGGTGCAAGTAGCGAAGATGAATCAAAAACTGCTAGGAAAAAGCAAAAGAAAGGTGAACTTGATGGTTGTTTGAGTTGCTTCACTGAAAAAAAGAAGAGGACAAGGAATGTTTATTCTATATGTATCCGTTACAGGTGGTTCTGTTACTTCTGCTTCATCTGCTGGTGCTGTAGGAAGTGGTGCACAAGGTGATTCTACAGCACTTGGACATCCAGCAGATGTTTTAGATATGCCAGTTGATCCCAATGAACCAACATATTGTCTGTGCCACCAGGTTTCTTATGGAGAAATGATTGGTTGTGATAATCCAGATGTAAGTCCATATTATGTTAAATATATTCTCAAAATATCAATGACTTCTTTTAATTTGTTTGATGAATAATTCCATTATTTTGTCTTTATACAGTGTCCTATAGAATGGTTCCACTTTGCTTGTGTTGGGTTAACCACAAAACCTAAAGGAAAATGGTACTGTCCTAAATGTACGCAAGATAGAAAAAAAAAGTGAAATCCGGAAAATGCATAAATGTATTAACTTATTTTAAAGAAAAGACTCGCACATTATTTCTAAAATTAGCGTATAATATTTTTCATGATTCAACATGAAACAAGGTTAACTTGTATAAAAAGGTAGGAAATTTGTAAAAAAAAAAAAAAAAGAAACAAAGAAAGTGTTAAAGGCTGAATTCACATTGCAACCAATGTTGCGAGCGTTCAATTCTTCGTTTGCATAATATTAAATACAAAGAATACAGAGGTCAAAATATTATATTTAATAATAACAATATTAAATGTAATATTGTCTGTTGTTAGCAACGTTGGATGTAATAAAAATACAGTAAAATATTAGCTTAGTACAGAAAAGGAAATTCGAGAACCGGCCACGATCATTATCCTCTTTCTATTTTTTTGTTTAGATGTACAAAGTAGTAATTTATTATAAATAATTAAAAATTCAAACAAGAGCTTGACTTTTTTTGGCCGTTTTTTGAATATCTGTGATCTGCACATGAAAATTCTGTCTTACTATATAAGTATTGAATCGTAATTATAGTATTGAACTACAAATTATTACTGTTTTTATATTTTATAAATGTAAATGATACTGTGTAGAAGTAAGTTTTTTGTTGAAATAAAATATGCATATATGAACAAGCCTCATATGTATAAGTGAGAAAAATATATTTGGTTTCTAGAAACAGACATTTAATTATTTCTATTTAAGTGTATATACAAATTATATTTACAAGCAGTAAGTGTTCGGCACTCTAATAGAAGAGTTCTAATGTATATTGAAGATTTTGATACAATTATTGTATAAATTGCTAAAACTTCGATTTTAAAATAAATAATTTTAAGATCTAATAATCTTGTGTTATCTAGCAAGAAGCATTATAATACTTACGAACAAACTCAATTAATTAAATATTTAAGTATATGTAATCGTTTAAAAAAGTAATGACTAGAATACTGAGTCTATAAGAACTCATTTACTTTCTATGGAATGCCTGGCTGCACATTGCAACATTGACTAGGTGGAACAGTCCAATTATAGTGATAGCTCATGCGATTTCTTGTTTCTTTTGTACACAATGCTCTAGATGCTTGGTAATACTCATACATATTTTTCATGTTTGCAATAGTTCGTTTGTGTGTAACTATGTATTGATTGGAACATCCACGTGACCTATATTCTGTGTCAAAGCGCACATCATGTTTTCTCTCAATGTTTGCCAATGGAGCTAGCCAAAGACCAACAGATACATCTTCTGCTTTGTGCAATCTAAAAATATGTACAGTTAAACACACTGAATAATATTACTTAACATTCAAGTTCCACATTTCCAAAAATCTTACTTGAGAATGTCCATGTTCAATGCAATAAATTTTACTAAATTATATGACAACACATATCCACCTCCAAGTGCATAAGGAAGATAATAATCGCACAATATCCAATCTGTTTCTTTCCAAGGTCCATTTCTCTTAACTTGAGCTTTTCCATTAAAGAAACCCCAATACAATTCCTTCCTTGTTCCTTTACTTTCCCACTTGTCTAATTCCTTGAGAATCTTATGTACCAAAACAAATGAATCATCATCACATTTCATTAAGAAATCAAAATCATAATACTCATAGACTTCCTTGTATGCATATAAAATCTTTTGCGTTAAGGTCCCATAAGAATCTGGTAACCTTGGTAACAGAAGTAAGTCATTGAACTTATGTTTCTCGGATTGCAGTGTTTCTCTTTGCTCTGGCAATATATCTAAAGTTCCTATTACAAATAAATGCTTGACAGTAGCGTATTTCTGAGACAACCATGTTTTCCTAATAACTGCCCTTCGCTCCAAGTTATCAGGATTGGAGAGTATCAGTATTACGAGCCTGAATCTTGATTCGTTTTTTGCTTCCTGCTTGTTGAGTTGACACTTTGTATGATGCACATAATGCACATAAAGAATGGCAACTATCAATAATATTAGCAATGTTAGAATATCCAATTTTTTGTACGTCCTTTTTCGAATCACGTTAGCAAGCAGGTTTTTGCTAAAGAGCATTCTTAACCTTTCTATCATTATCTTCTAAGATTCACAGGTTAACAAGCTGGCATCCTTATCAACGTCTTTCTTATTAATGGATGAAATATATTAATTAAACATTTCTTTCGTTTTTATGTCAAGAAGTATAACTCCATCAATGAGAATCAGCTGTTCGCATTGGTTCGCACTTGCCGAGTTTCGTAAATATCGAACCTAACCTAGCTAAACATTAAACTATTACTTTTTCAATGTTTTGAAACTGTATTTGAAATAATTGTAATTCGATTCAAGTTATTCCATATTCTTTAATTAAAACTTTTTATGCATTGGTTACTTCGGTAAAACACAAAAATAAATATAAAAAATATTAGCATACACGCACGGTTGTTATTGGAATTTTGTTTAAGGGTGCGCAGCAGACAAACTGGCGCCACCAACGGAAAGTAAGTGAACTACTAGATAGTTTTTCCTATTTTTCAGGCACAATAATGAAAAAAACATATCATAATTATGCATTTCGTAATCAGGGGAAGTAAATCTATCGTCTCGTCAAGCGTTTTTTGGAAAAAATTGAAAAAAAAAAAAATTTCTTGTCTTTGAACGTATTTTTAGCAAGTTTCAAAAACGAAATTGCAAAATGTGTAACTGTCCCTCGCAACGGTATTTTATAAGGAACAGTTTTAAAAAAAAATCAGCCGGAAAGGTCGCTTCCTCGCCTCATAAAATTACAATAACTGTTTGGAAAATTGCAAACGTTTGACATCATTCTGTCTTTGTCTCTCCTCCGATTGATGTATCTCCCTCTCTGTCACAGCATCATTAGAGAGACAAGGATCTACCTATCCTTGTCCCAGAGCTTCCTACTTTCTTCGCAACTGTCGCTGAAGTCAACTCGGAGTTTTGCTGGGTCTCCTGCGCACCCTTAATAATACTTATTATCCAATAAAAAAATGATACATGGGGAAGATCACATTTTTTATTTCTTCGGATAGTTTCGTAATTTATTCAAATACAAAATATTCATATAAAATGTTTGTTGTTTTTTTATGGTTATTGTATAGAATATTATTCGAATGTGAATATCCTTTCCAATGCAGTTAACATCAATAGTTAAAATGTTAGATTGTAAATGATGGAAGTAATTCATTCTTCATGTACAGAAGATTAAAGCACAATCTATATAGTTGTTTCTTTAGTATTGACTATCATTCAACTAAATATCCTGTTAATAAATAACCACCTGTGTCACTAGTTAAAATGTCAGGGTGTGTCCTATCTGGTAACACTTGATAAGAACGTAGAAAATTAGAAAACAGTCTTAAGTTAATAACATTTTGTCTTTGTTTTAACATCATATATGTCTCTTGGAGAGGTTCTCGATATATGTGAAAAATTACAAACGGCCTAGATACTCCCAAGAAAGGTAACAGGGCGGTTACAATATTCAAAGGATGTTCTTTAGCTACAATAACTAATCCACGAGCTTTCACCTTCTGTACAAGATCTACAGCACATTGGGTTTCCAATAACCATTTTGGTTTCTTTGCTGGTACATCTTCCATAGAGTTACCTTCCTCTGACTCATCTAATTTTCGTTTTGTTGCTGTTGAACAACTATTCACACTCTCTTCTTTAGAAGTCTCATTATTTTCTGTAATCTTACTTGTATCACTAACACTTTTTAAACATTCTTTATTACTAGTCTCCTTGTTCTCAGAGATTTGATTGTCTATACAATTTTTATCTGAAACATTGCTAGCATTCTTTTTAATCTTTTTTGTCCAACTATCGCGTGGTTTCTTCAATGTTAGAATGTTATTTAAAACTGCGCTTTCACCTTGATGATACAACCTTAAAAAGCTATAGATATTGACATTAATCAATCTGTCTAACTGTTCTTTAGGAAAGTTCATAGCATGAACAATTGTAGCTTGAGGCACATTTCCAGGATGCAAATTAATTAAATGTCCAGCTGTATTCGCTCCAATTCTATTTAACATTGCAGCTGTTGGTAAACCTTGAGACCCACTATTATATAAAATATACAACCCATCTGATTGAACATCACTATATGATAATAACTGTGCCAATGCATCCATCCTTAAGTTTCCAATTTTATTATGATCTAACTTAAAATATATGCTGTGCAGAGAACTTATATTTGGTTTACATATGGTTAAATGACGAAGATACTTTTGTTCTTTCTTCTTTAGATACTTTTCTTGCGAATATTCTGTTCTTTCCAAGAAAGACTTATTATTTTCAATTAAGCTGCCCACAATCTCTTTACCAGTTTTACCAGATTCCTGAAGCCGAAGGATTTCTTCTTTGGAAAGTTTCTGTGAATTGCCATCATCAATGATGGTACGATTATCATTGCCACTGGACAGTGTACTTAATAAATCGTCCCATGATTCAGTTTCTGTCACTTCTTTCAGAGAAAACGATCGTTTTCCATCTTTTGATGGTATCATCTCAAAGCTGGTCCAAAACCGTTTCCCAATAATTTCACGCATATCCACTAGGTCCTTTCCTAGCATTAAACTTCCACTAGCGGTAACCTTATAAATTTTCTTAAAATTCAATTTCTTTACTATCACATACTTTCCTACGGTAATTATATCTTCTTCAAATTCGCACATGTTTCTTAATTTCATGGAATCCTTTGAAAACACACGTTTTCGTAGGTTAGGTTGGCGTATTATATTTAGGTTAGAACTATAACCACATGATAGTGTTGTGCATTGATTTGTAATCCTTTAATTTGAATTTATTTAATTCTTGCACAGTGATTTATATGCAATGTTATATTAACATAATTAATGAAAAAAGTATTTGTACTGGAATGAGGTATATAGTTTATATCCAAATTACTGCAAATTACCTCGTAGCCTAACCCTACTGTATACTGTACACTGGCATATACACCATCTGCCAGAGAATTGACATGTACAGATAAAATTATCAACATCATATTTTTACTTCGTTATGCCATTCTTATTTTTGTACAGTGAATAATTTTAATAAATATTTTTTTTTTGTTCATTTACATATTATATTACAGTCTTTTAATTTCCTATGCAATTAGTTTTTTGTTGCAGTAAATAAAAAGAAATGCTTGTCTATAAAGAATTTCAAGCAGTTGTGCTTGCTGGTGGAGGAGGATCTCGTATGACAGAACTTACTAATGGAAAACATAAATGTTTGTTGCCAATTGGAAATATACCGATGATTTGGTACCCCCTTCAGCTATTGGAACATGCTGGCTTTAAAGAAGCAATTGTTGTTGTATCTGAAGATATGGAACATAATGTATTATCAGCCTTAAACAGACTAAATCTTAAAATTAAGACAGACATTGTTGCTGTTGAGGATGCAGAAGACCTTGGAACTGCAGATTCTATCAGACTTATTCACGAGAAAATTTACACTGATTTTTTAGTAATTTCTTGTGATTTGATTACCAATGTTGACATATGTGAAATTTTAAACCTGTACAGAAAACACAATGCTAGCATTACTGCATTGATGTTACCTGTGCCTAAACTACCAGAGGATTTTGTAACTCCAGGCCCTAAAAATAAACAAAAACCTGAGACTGATTTAATTGGTATAGATAATGAAACAGGACGTTTGATTTTTCTGGCTTCAGCTTCAGATTTTGAAGAAACCATTAATATTTCTCAGATACTTCTAAAAAAGCATACAAGTTTCACTATTCATTCAAAATTAATGGATGCTCACTTATATGTTATTAATAAATGGGTTTTAGATTTTTTGGTGCACAATAAGTAAGTAATATATAGAAAAGCCTTGAAAATAAGGCTTCAATGTATATTATACATGATAAATTATTCTCTTTTGATAGAAATTTTAGTACACTGAAAGGCGAGCTTCTTCCCTATATAGTCAGTAAACAATTGTCTAAACCTCCTAAACAATGCATGGATGATAAAAACACTTCTATAGTAGGAGTAGATTTAAAAAAAGATATCTTCCGTTTTGCTGTTGAGAAACCACTGGATGAATTAATCAGAAAAATGTCAGCATACAATGATCACAATACTGATTTAGAGGATGCATATCACGGAAATATAATAAGATGCTATGCTCATATTGTTAATGGAAAATTTGGTCTAAGAACAAACACCATACAAATGTATCACCTTGCCAACATCAAGGTAAATATAAAAAAAATTTTCAGTTTACAATTTCATATTAACAAATTATGTATTTTAGATATTGGATTTGTGGAGTAATGATGATAATAAACAATCGTGTATACCACGCATTGCAACAACAGCAACTATACATAGCACACAGATGCAAGATTGTCATGTAGATGAGAATGCTTTTATCGATGAAAAAACATCCCTCAAACAAAGTTACATTGGACCAAATGCAGTTATCGAATCAAAGACTAGAATATCGCAAAGTGTAATAATGGAAAATGTAACGATTAAACAGAGGTAATTTAATGAAAAATTGAATGAAACGATTGACTTGAGAAATAGGTTTGGCTACATAGAAAAGTAACATTCTATTCTGTAATTCACTGCTTACAGATGCGTAATACATAATTGCATACTATGTAATGGTTGTATTATCGAGGAGGGTACAGAATTAAAGGATTGTGTAGTTGGATCACAACACCTTGTGACCAGTGGAAGTCAACATACTCGCGAAGTTCTTACAGACGCCGACAAGCTCATAGAAATTTAATTATAATTGTATTGCATACATCAATTGCTTAAGTAATAAAGCAAAGCTTGTATTTTTTATTGTACTTATTAGAAGAAAATAAAGACCTTGAGCCACTAAATCGAGTCCATTGAAATAAAGTTTAGTATAGTTCAATTGGGTTTACTAGTGGCGCCATCGGTGGGAAAACGCTCAAGTTTATAGTAAAAATAGTTCAAAATAGTTATTGAAAATAATTTTTTCAATATTCATTATTTTGTTTCGTTACATTGCTTTATATTATGGCTCGGGTACTTCGGGATCGCTAAACCCGTACTGTAGCTTCATTTATAATCAAACATAGCTACAGCTCCTAAAGGTAACAATAATTATCGACACTTTAGTTAGTGGTGCCATCTTATAAAAATAGTGGGAACTATTTTCACTATAAACTTGAGCGTTTTCCCATTGATGGCGCCACTGGTAAAAAAGCCACTCACCAAACTAACACCACTGAATCGTCATCCCTTTTGACGTGTTCCTTCGTGCAAAATGGTGAGCGCATATTTGAACAATTGAGATCTATTTATTGCAAAGCAATCATTGTAAATGATTATATTATAAACATATAATATGTTTTGTCAATTCTCATAAAAATAATATATGATAATAGTTGTGATAAAAAATGTCGAAATAAATACATTATTAATATTATGTGGTAGTGGAGGTTATGTATGAAATGTTTACTAGTCTTGACACGCGGTTTTATATGACGAAGAAATTGAATGAGAATACAAATTCTGTTCAATTTGGAAGTGTTTAATGTCGTTAAACATTTACGTTTAAATCCGACGATTTTGATGTTAATAAATCTTAACTTATCATTTAACCATTTCACCGTTGCTAGGCCACGTATGTCCCAGTAATTATGTTCCAATGGTCTAGTATAATCACTACTTTTTTCGTTTTCTCATATTTCGCCCACGTGAAAATGAATGACAAAGCCATAGAAAAGATTTTTAAATGCTTCGAAAAATGCAATCATTGTTAAAAAATATTTGTTTGCAGACAAAGGGTACATCAAGTTTTGGTAAGCGGCGGAACAAGACGCACACATTGTGCAGACGATGTGGTCGTAGCTCGTACCATATTCAGAAATCACAATGCGCGCAATGTGGATATCCACAGAAAAAGATGCGATCGTGTAAGTTGTATGTGTGTGTATTAGAATACCCAACACATAGAAATTTATGGCCATTAAATAAAAAAAATAGAAAATAATAGATTTGATAAAAATCAATGATCTAAATATACTCATCTGAAATATTTACAATGATAAGTAATACAATGTACATTTCTAGATTATATAATTATATTTACTCTGAAGATAAGTCGAAACATTGTAATAAAAATAGCTTGGTTAAGGTAATTAAGATAAAGATGTTTGCCTAAGCAATTGCATAGGATTGAAAAAAAAACAAATTTTTATAAAAATAAATAAAAAGAACATAGATACATAAAATTGAAAGGAATATTTAGAAGAAAAAACAATTGTTTCTTGATATTAAGATTACTTTTTTTGAAGATAGTGGGTTAAAACATTCTAATCCAACTACAATAATTTTCGTCGCGTCGTTAAAAATGTCATTTTTTGTAAACAGTAACTGTAGTCAATCAACACTTACATATTTCAGATAACTGGTCGGTGAAAGCCAAAAGGAGGAAGACTACTGGTACTGGCCGTATGCGCTACTTGAAGATAGTTCGTCGCAAATTCAAGTAAGTTTACCAATAAATATTACCTACAACAAATACTACCCCAGGTTATTTTATACTTAAGTTTTCTTCTATCAATCTTCTTTATTTTTCCAGGAATGGATTCAGGGAAGGTCTGCCAAAACCAAAAGCTGTAGCAACTAAATAATCATCACTTTTGTCATTGTGTTGTATATCTATAAGATTTTGACTACTAATAAACAATAAAAAACACCAAGAAGGTATTTTATATTATTTTTCTTTTTAAACAATTCTACCGTTTTTAACTTTAACCGATTGTACTTGAAGATAAACAACAATGACACGTGCATAACACTAGTCGACGCGACGGTTCACTGATCACATTGTTAGTATTTTTTCCAGGTAGAAAATAAAAGAGATAATGCACAAACATGTAGAAAGTACTGCAGAGTGGGGTTGCCCCCACTATGTATGGTAGAATGTTTGATTGTGTGAGACGCTATAATTGTCACCGTATCGCCAATTTTATACTATTAACTCGCGGATTTATAGTGCACCATGATAACTGCTACATTCGTCAGTGAAATTTGCTTCGAAAACTTAGCTTTTTAGTTAGTTAAAACGGTATGTTACGGGGCCGTGTTCAACCAAGGTTTCGTCTTCACAAACATCAAAGGATCAAGAATAATCGCATTATCATATAGCAGTAAGAGAAATATTAGAAAGAAAATTTTTTGAAGTTTTCCTTCAATTAAATTGAAGAGAATCGTCTTGTAAGACAAGGGTTTAGGAAGCAACCAACTCAGTTAAAGAATTCTGCAGTAGGAAGATCAGGATAAAAAGGATTGCTGATTAGAGTTCATTTTGCAAATGACTGTTTGGCGGAAATTGTTTGGTGAGCGTAAAAGTAGTCTTAAAAAAGTTAATACGAGAAATTTTGTGAAATATGAAATAGGTTTACTTTTACAAAAGATCTAATGAATGTTTTGTGTATCCTTAATCCCAAGGCAAATACCTCCTGGTCACGAATACGGTGAGCTGTGGTTTGATGATGGCGACAGCAGACATTTTTCAACAACGCAGCGAACACTGGAAGAGAAACGGCAACTATTTCCCAGGTGGAAGCCACGTAATGGCAGCAACTCTGGAAGCTGATCATGAGGAGTTCAGCAACCTAGTGGCTTCTGGCAAAGAAATGTACGTGCACGATTATGTGCGAACTAAGAATATGACAACCGTGGGTCTGGTTCAAGGTCCTTTTCATCATTGGTTCTACATGCTCTTGGATAAAGTATTACCCGGCAGAAACGCATTATCCGTCGTTAAAAAAACCTGTATCGATCAAACCATAGCAAGCCCCACATGTTTGGGTATATTTTTCATTGGTCTTGGAATATTGGAACACCGCAAAATCGAGGAGATCTGCCAAGAACTAAGACTGAAGTTATACGACACGTGGAAAGTATGCAAGTTATTCTACAAAGAGTTATTCATTGATCTATATATAAATTTAGTTAACACTTAAGTAGTATACTTAGGAATACTATAAATAATAGACTACCCTTAAGGTTGATTGCTGCTTTTGGCCTCCGACGCAGTTTGTGAATTTCTTCTTCATACCCTTCCGGTACCGAGTGCTATATACAAATTTCATGACCATGATCTACGACGTTTTCTTATCTTATATGAAATATGTAAGTATCGTTTCACCTGGTTCTACCTTTCACTACCAATTTTTCAGTATATTTTACTAGTTATGGTCTTTTTTCAGGACGCTGAATACCAGTAATGAGAAATCTCAGGGCTAGTCCAACCGAAACGATCGTACAAATCATTACGGTTCTATTCATTTTTTCATTCATCAATTATTAATCATCTATAACTGTAAACATAAGACTATAAGTTTACAAATGTAAAAATAAGTATGTAATATAACCAAAGTATACAAAGCAATTTTGTTTTACTTGTGAATAAAGAATGTTACACAATTCCGTTATCGTGTTTGGGAATCATTGGTATCCTTATAGTTAGACGCGACTATACGATAACGTTAAGCGCAATAACTTCTGCATGCGTTCGGTTACATTGCGATTGATAAGAATTAAGATAAAAAAAGGGAAAGCAAAACATAGCATCCTAATACATTTGTTTTGCTATCATGCAAGTACGAAGTATTCTTATCAATATAATACTGGGAATTAATAGCTCAACTCGTATGAAGTTATTAAAATTCATTTTAGGCTTTGTGCAAACTTCATATAAATATATATATATATATATATATATATATATTTCATTAATGTTCCATAATTATGATTATTGTAGACCTTTTTTCTGAACAAGACTAAAATTATAGACACAAACTTGACATAAATACGCGCATAGAGCTCGTTTTGATTTTATTATTAAATTATTAAAAGTCTAATCAATAAATTAAATATATATTGTGTAAAAAACAATACTTCCTTTATTACGGAAATATAATTAAAATTAGAAAACGATAAGTCGTAAACAAACAAACGATTTCTATTGCGACATAGCTTTTCATAAAGTCCGATTTAGGAATATGTACGGGTATCTGGCAGTTCTGTTTATTGTTTCACTCGGTTTATTGTTTGTATTTACATTCAACTGATCGCTATTTGCTCGCTGGCGACTGTCGGCTTAGAAGACTTTGTAATCCCGTTGCCGCCGAATGTCAAACAAAAGCTGTCACCCTAATAAACAACTTCCTTTCAATGAACGGTTGTAACCAGTGATAACAAAACTGAACAAAAATTCCATCAAGATGCATCAGACATCGACGTGTCTCATACACGTCATGCAAATAAAATATTGATAAGCATTCTATTAAAACTCATTTCAATCAGAACAAACATATATATATATATATATATATATATATATATATATTCATATCAAGTTTTCATCTCTAATTTCTTCAATAATTCTGCATGGAGCACTAATGAAAATATATACATGAAGTTTGTATTAACATGAATTTGAATAATCTAATAATAAGTTAATTAATAATAAAATCAGTACAAGCTTTAGAGTTTAGACACTAAACTTTAGAGAATAGGTAAACTATCACATTATATTTTGTACTTATTAAAAACATCAATTACATTTGAATATAATTCAAAAATTGATAGATAAATGTTACACGAAAATAAATAACGAATAAAGAGATAAGAAACAAAACCTTTATATAAGTAGTAAAAATTGCATAGTCATATAATTAAATATTTCATTTGCTCATCCGTGTAATTGTTTACGAAATGGAGGAAGGTCCAAAACTCGGGCGGTGCCAAGAAGTATTAACCCTGAAAACATTCATTATTAAAATAAAAGGAAAGAAGGTCTAGATTGGGTGAAACTAAAGTGATACAATTTTCGAATGGATATTGCATTTAAATCTAGGTTAGCGCACTCATTCCAATGTTCAAGTTAGGTTATATCTAATATAATTTTTTTTCATAACCTTTCTAATTACAAGAAAAGAATGAATTACCGCTTCCAATCGTGTACATTATGGATTTTCCAATGTTCCCTTGGAATTTTTTCGAATGATACGAAACGTACAAGCCGGAACCGATCAGACCGCAACCGCTGAAAATTCTACAACCAAGGCAATCTCGATTTCGATTGTTAATTATGCTGTTCACTGTACCCGTTGTTTCTTTCATCATTACTTTATAAAAATATAATGCAATATTAACGAGATGTATATAAAGAAACTTCGCAATTCCAGAATACTACGATTTTTTGCAGGTTAGGTTTTAAATCGCCATATTTGTTTATACCGATCGAGTTGAGAGAAATCGAACTTGACTGGAATTTTAAATTTTTCGCGGTTTTTTTATTTATTTGTTGTATAAAGTTTTGTTTTTATTTGTAAATAAATACACAGAAAAATATCATAACATATAAATTTGTTCAATTAATCGGATAACTTAAAACCCTATATTTTATTTGCAACCCTTAAATTAATTGCAATTATTACAAATTATTTATAATAATCTAAAACTATATTTGTTTCTGTTTAGAGAAACGTATCACATTCCTTCTTTAAACTTTCGAAAGAATGTAAAAGAATCGTTTATCTTATAATTTGTGTATTTATTTAAGTATAACGCTGTTGATTATTTTATTTAAACGTGAGCGAACATACAAAGTTGGTCGTTATTTTCCGTAATTCTGATTACTTGTTTCTAATCACATATCGAAAAAACCAATAAATAAAATTTGACAAAATGTAAAGGTTGTATGAAGTTTGAGAATTTCCACTGTTTCTTCCTGCTATTTACTCTATGAGTTTCTTCGCTTTGAAGAAACGTCTCAAATAAAATACCTGCCAAGTAGAGAGCAAAAATAACCAACACGTGGAAAATATACTGAAATATAACACCCGACTATTTGTTGCTTCTGAAAATTTAAAAAACCATTAATTACTATCTGTTTTATATAACAGAAAGAGTATACAATGACCTCACCGTTAGTGTCTGTCATTTGTTCTTCGAATTTTCGCATTTGAGCAAAATCATGAACAATAGCTTCTGATAAATCTTCCAAACGTTTTAATTCTACTTCAGAAGGTTTCAGTCTTGCTGCTTCACCTATCTGTTAATAGAAGTATTTGTTTACTTGTTGTGCCCTTAAGAGCACTTAGAAAGCAACAAAAATTCAATTTGTTAAAGTCAGTACAACAAAAAATGGATTACAAAGTCTTTGGATATACTCTGGAATTAGTGACACATACAGAGAACTTCAAATTTTGTTAGAAATATTTATGAATTTGTCCGAACTATCTATGTTTCTTTATCGTTTTTGTTAACATTTAAAATCTAACTGATAAACTAACTCGTATTAAAATCCATGCTATTAAAAGTCTGATGTCTAGATAAACCAATTTCTCTACATTACCAGCTGTGTATCCATACAAGCCATATATAGAACAAAAAAACGATGAAATATTGTAAGATAGGAGATATAAGAGAATAAAAATGTAAAATGCAGTAGTAAAAGTAAAAGAAGGTAGAAATGAATGCAACTCAAATGGATCATATAAAAAATACTTACTCCTTCATAATTCTTTGCTCCAATTCCATGTTTAGTAATTAAATAGATTTCTTGTTTGTTTTCCTTAGTATCTAGAACATTTGTCTTATTACAATCACAATTATATGATTATACCTATCGTCGAAAAATATTTCGTACATACTGCCTGAGAAAGATGGTTGTATAGAGTGTGTCATGAAGCAAATCTCGTACATGTCATATGACTCTGTGACGAATGTGAATTTCAATACTTTTCCATGAGGTATATCGTCCTTTCTGGATAGGATATGTCCCGAGGAATCTCGTATCTACAACGCAAAATTATTATACTGTTAGTATATCGTTACTTTAAAACAGTCAAACATAGAAAACAACATATGTGAGTTAAGGTTAATCGAGCATAACCTCCAAATGCCATAAGACGATAATCAGTAATTTTTAATTGAATTAGTGCACCAAGACTTACTATGTGATCAGTTTTAACAGCCGGTGTGACAGAGACTTCATACTCTCCAGCAACCAGAACGTTTGCAAGAACTTCCTCTTTTAAGCATTTCAACGAATTTGGTTCCAAGTAAAATCTTATACAGTGTCCATACGCGAGTAACGTCGCGAAAATAAATAACACGCCTTGCATTTCAAGGCAATCCGTTTAGACACTACGTTTAATAATTTTCAACGAAAGCTCTAGATATTAATAAAATATTCAACGATTTGTTAACGACGAACCGTCAACATACCGATGAGTTGGCAGCCATTGAATAATTTGCTGGATAGTGGATCACGTGACGTACTAAACACAACACGTGTAACGATGTAATTTAATATTTTATCCCTAAAATAAAATTCCTAGTACCATTTGATATGCAATAACAAAAATAAATAATAAATAGACGTTACGGTCGGTCAGCCAATACAAATTCCATATCTAATCATAGAGTAAGAAGAAAATGTTAACTTGTGAGTTGTGGGATTCGGTGACTTTTATCAAGTAGAAATAACGATGCGTTGATGTATTGTTTGTTTGGAAGCACGTCACAGAGAAGGGAACCATTACGTAGTGCTAACTGTCAAGAAATTGTTTTCCAGTTACGTTAATTGTCTAAGTGGCCGATTAAAAGAATATAATTTTGATAAAACAATTATTTTGATTGTACGACAATGGAGAAAAGACCTTTGAATCCAGGTGCTGACAACCCTCCGCCCTACGCCGAAGCTATATCTCCAAAACGTAAGCATTAGGATGTATTCAAAGATTTAATTGAATGGTAATTCTCTAATTGCTATTTCAATTTTAATCGTTTTTAGAGCAGATTTTTGGTTTAAAAATATCGATATTCTAAGCGAGCCTCATTCTAACAAGGAATTTTACTACTATGAAAGTAAGCTCGATTTAACCTAGCCCTAATTAAAATATAAATTTTTGTATGAATTATGTTTTATATAGCAAATTCTACGTGGCAACCACCTCCTGGATACAGTTCCACGCAATCTGGAGGATCTGCTCCATGGCCATTGCCTCCAGGTTACTATCCTAGCACTGGTGCTACTAATACTTCTAATTATGTACCATCTTACGGGTCAACACAGTCAACTACTGTCATTGTGCCTGAGATCATTTTAGTTGGTGGATGTCCTGCTTGTAGAGTGAGTATACTTTTATTTTATGAAAGGAAGCATCAATGTTTATGTTCATAAATTTTTCAATAGCCATAGACAGTTTCTATAAGGATGTCTGCTCACTCCAAATGGTATTCACATACTCTATTTTTTATTTATCAAACTGCATGATTTCTATATCTTGCTCTTAATACCTTTCATATAGAATATGTGACATTATACAAGTCCATAAGCTCTTTGCACAAATATTTATCAATAATCTAGATGTTGTCTGCCTTGCATGCAATTCATTGTACAACTTTCTTCTATATAGTATGCTTTGAATATCAAAAACTTTGTTGTGAATCATTGATAAACAATGGGCTTAGAGAAAGTAAAATTAAATCTAAGGTGAGCAGCTTGTCCCATATAGCTATCAGAGTGTCAAAAAGTGTAAAAAAAATTTGAATTCAAGATCTGAAATTTGGGTATTCGTTCAAGAAATAAGCTATTAAAGTCAAATTTCAAAATGTAGGTGGGAGTAATGGAGGATGATTATACATGTCTGGGACTACTGTGCGCAATTCTGTTCTTCCCTATTGGAATACTTTGCTGCTTGGTCTTAAAAACTCGTCGCTGTTCCAATTGTGGAGCCTACTTTGATTGATACATTCTTATAAAAGTGATGTAATAGTTGTAAAATTGAAAACTAGATCCATTGTTAGCTTAATACTAATACAATTATAATTATACTCTAATATGTAAGAACAAATATGTTATATTAAGTTTGTAAGAAACTTGTGCAACCATGCATTTAATGTGTACAGTTTTAAATACTGTTGTAGTATAATTTAGTACTCTAATCACACGATCAAAAACTTAATAGAAACTATAAAATAATTGACTAATGTATTAATGGTAATGTATCAAAGAACATAAAGAGGTACATTGGGAACAAATTGCATTGAAACCTTTAGGAAATTATTGTTTTAGAAAGTATTTTTTATTTCCTAATGGAATGATAGATATGTAATTTGCTCCCAAAGTTAACGACCAATTAAATTAATTTGATGAAATCTTCTTTAATGCGCGAGGCGATTTGAAATACTGTAAAATACTAAGTACCTGATAATACAGAATATTTTTCTAACTGATCATATTACCAATTTATTTATAAAAGATGTATTTGGCTAAGAACTATCTCTGTAATGAAAGAAATTATTGTTAAGATTTATTAAATTATTGTTGCTATTAACCTCCGATGAATTTTTAGAAACTTTACAATAAATAATAAAGAAACTGTTCAATTGGTTATGCGTTAAGATGACCTTGTTTAATATTGGAACTTATTGAATCACACCCTCCGCTTTAAGCGGAGTCTTACTACTCTTACTGTATCCCTCATTTGCAGCTGTCCAACAAACCCATGAATTTTCATGAGAACCGAGGGGTTTGAACATTTTCGTTGTTAGTATTTTAAATAATCTGTGTCTATGATTCACACAGATGATTCATTTGCAATTGATATTCGGCGTTGAATGCCGATCGTAATTCAAGAAAGTTTCGTCTTAATAACATCTGACACCGTACACGCTTCACATGAATGATATGTTCCCATCATCAGCATGCATGATTCCTTCATGCATATTTGTATCAGATATATATATTTTTTTGCGTGTTGTTAGAGCCTGCACGATTACTATGACACATTATAATCTTCTACAGAAAGTGGAATTCTTCACCTCCACCTGCCACAGGAATTTCCCAATTCATCAAGGTTTTATCCTGTTCCGTTATAGAGACGTAAAAAAAAAAGCGGGAAAGGAAAACCAGTCGCTTTTGTGAATAAACGCGCCGAAGGTAGCTAATGCGTAACTATCTTGTCCTTGGTCAGTGCACAATTAATACATATAAAGGAAGCTACGAGCACTCATGGCACAGATCAAAGGGAACCTCGATGCTCGAAACATGCCGGCGAACGAGGAAACTTCCAGTGAGATGAATCAGGCGGTACCGCGAGTAACAGTAAACTTAGAGAAGTCCTCGGGGAATCCCGTGACGTTCAATGGACTTCCGAACAGTTTTCCTCAATCAATGAATGAGAATGAAAATGTCTGCTCAGATGATTGTCAAGACCCTGTCTTTGCTGAGGATATTAAAGAAGATTGCTGCTACAAGAGCTTGCCTGTTCGAAGACTCCATGAGAAGTTCATGAGGAATTTCGTTGACCTTCTTCTGGAAGATGCAATTTTTAAGGTAAGATCGAGTTTTGTTAAATAGTTGAGAAAGTGTGTGCGATATTTCGTGGGATAATTGTAATAATATTTTTCTTGTTTCAAGTTATTAAAACTCAATCCAATTTAAGACTTTATATTACAATAAATGACCGCGTATAATAGTTCGATGAATTTGTCTAAACAAATGATATTTTATCAAAAATGAATCGAAGTTAATTAAAAAAGAAAAATTGTCACATTATTAAATAAAAGTAATGCAAACACCGCAGACCTTTGCTCTCTTCAAGAGTAAATGTGTAAAACATGTGAAAAATGTTTTTTGTTTAATTGTTTTAAAGTTGGCTCGAGTAAGATTACACAACTCAATGATAAATGTAAATCGTAACAGAGCATTAAAGACTTTGTATTTAAATGGAACAAAAACGATAATTCTTGACACGTATCCGTGAGATGGAATGCATAAATTATTGCGTGCTAACGATAGCCGTAAATTTCTTTTTATTTCAACGTGATTGGTAACCAGTATAAAATTACGCGGAAGTGTAACATTGTATCTTTATCTATTTTCTAAGTACTTGTGGCAATTGAATAATTAATGAAAATAATACTTCAAATCGCTAGCAACGAGTACTACTATCTAGAATGTAAATGTTGGTCAAGCTACGGGGAAAAAGTGATGTGAAAAATGTCAGTAATCATTGAGAAACTGAAAACTTGATTTCCCTTACCCAGTTGGTTTCTGACCGTGACTCAAACGTTTGCTACGCGGACTTTTTTGTTGCATTATGTCAGGAACTCATTAATGCGGCACAGTCAATTCATGGACAAAAAATTGCGCCGCAATAGTAAGCAAATCAGGAGCTACGAGAATTCTCATTAGCATCAGGAAATGCTAACAAAAATTGTTTATTATTTATGAAAGTGGAATACTAAAATTGATGTTATGTATTAAAATCATCGAAGTTAATAGTGTGGCGAGGTCAGAGATGAGTTGAAAGTTTAATTAAAAGATTCCAATAGAAAATTACTTACTTTGGCCATATTCCAGGGAATCTCGAGGAAGAATCGAGTGGTGGAGTGGATGGAGCCTAAGGAGCTTCATTCAGCCATTGATCTGACACTCTCTGATCAAGGAGTCTCTCACGAGAAATTGCTTTCTCTGGCTCGCAACGTGATCAAGTATAGCGTAAAAACGGGTCATCCCCGGTTCGTCAACCAGCTGTACTCCAGCGTGGATCCTTATGGTCTCCTAGGACAATGGATGACTGATGCTTTAAACCCCTCCGTGTATACCTATGAGGTCTCTCCAGTGTTCTCCTTGATGGAGGAAGAACTGTTGAGAGAGATGAGAAAGATACTCGGTTGGGAAGATGGCAGAGGCGATGGCATATTCTGTCCGGGTGGTTCAATCGCTAATGGATACGCGATCAATCTGGCGCGTCACTATAGGTAATGATATTTTTTTCCGTGGAAGAAATCTCTTGATCTCTCAAGTTCACATTGGTACCAAATTGAACCACTCTTCGTCATCTTCAGATTCCCCCATCTAAAGGAGTCAGGTCTTTCCGCCACTGGCAGACTAACAGTTTTCACCTCCCAAGACGCTCACTACTCAATAAAGAAACTCAGTGCGTTTCTGGGAATAGGAACTAGCAACGTCTATGAGGTTAAAACGGACCGCAGAGGGAAAATGTGCGTTGCAGACCTGGAGACTCAGATCAACAGAGCCATCAGCGAAGGTGCGACTCCACTGATGGTATCTGCCACGGCAGGAACAACAGTCTTAGGCGCGTATGATCCCCTGAGGGACATAGCATCCATCTGTAAGAAGTACAACTTGTGGTTTCACGTCGATGCTGCTTGGGGAGGGGGAGCATTGATATCTGCAAGACACAGACACCTTTTAGATGGTGTGGACCTGGCAGACTCTATTACTTGGAACCCTCACAAACTCCTTGCGGCGCCACAACAGTGTTCAACGTTGCTGGTACGCCATGAAGGTCTTCTACAGTCGGCACACAGTTCAAACGCCAGCTACTTGTTCCAGCCAGATAAGTTTTACGACACCTCCTTCGACAGCGGCGACAAACACGTCCAGTGCGGTCGTAGAGCAGACGTATTGAAGTTCTGGTTTATGTGGAAGGCCAAGGGCACTCTAGGTTTAGAGAAACATGTGGACCGTGTCTTCCAGCTATCCCGGTACTTCACAGAGTACGTGAGACGCAGGAAAGGCTTTCAATTGCTACTGGAGCCAGAGTGCACAAACGTTTGCTTTTGGTACACGCCTCCCTCGAAGCACCACCTGGAAGGTGAAGATCGATTCAAAATGCTTCAAAAGATTGCGCCTACCATAAAGGAACGCATGGTGAGGAATGGTTCCATGCTGATCACTTACCAACCGCTCAGGGAGCTGCCCAACTTCTTCAGACTTGTTCTGCAGAATTCTGGATTGACTGAAACTGATATGAGGTTTTTTGCTGAAGAGATAGAGAGGCTAGCCAATGATTTGTAGAACTGTGCAGGGTGGTGATGTACAGGTTGGCTGTTTGCAAATAAGATGTAGATGTTAGAATTATTTATAAGTAACGACTATGTGAAATTAAATATATAAATACGTTTATGTTATCAAAATTTTTCTGAATCTGTTCAAAAGCATAAACAATCCTTAATAATAATCAGTCAACCAGTATGAGTACAATAATTCCTTTATTCGTTTGTTAGTTTTGCTTCAGAAAATAATTTAAGGCTCTCAAATATCTGCTCGTCGTACAATGAATTTTATTTGCGACAATCTTTTATGACGAAGCATGACACACAATCTCTCATAGTATTGTCTTCAAGTTTAGAATCATATTCAACTGAACACTGAGTAAATCTAATGGTACATAATTGCAAAAGCCTTGTGCAAGTCTCTTTGAACGTAAATGGTCCTCGTTCAATCAAGATCTCCAATGCAATCTTTAAAACCATTAATCATACGAGTCACTGTAAGTCTATTATACGCTATCTGAATTGAACTAATTAGTTATAGTGCCCTACTTTCACTTTAAATGATATTAAGCATACATTTTTTTTTCATACCAAAGTTAAATCATCGTCTATTTCATCAGTGTTCTTCATCAACTGTTCGTTATGATAGATAATATTCATTTCACGTCTGAAAAAAAGACTAAGTTTTATTATGTAAGTAAAGGAAAAATTGAGAGGTTGGAATTGACTGCCAACCTAACCTAATTGTTTCGGAGCGCAGAGTTGACATATAGGATTTCGGAAAAATATGGACATTAAAGCTTGAATAAGTAACAATTTTCTTCCGGTTACACGATTCGTAAAGAATCCAAACATTTAAATTCTTTTGACATGTTTCAAAATTTCGAAATATGAACGATGTACAGACGTTCACATCTTCAAAACTGATCTTCCTATTGACAATCGCAGTGACGAATACAAGCTGACATCGTAGATTTTATTTTATAAACTCGTTATTAATATTATAAAAACGTATCATAATATTGCACAGTCATCATTATCCAACCATCCATCATACATTCTTTAATACTAAAACAAAGCTCGTCGTGTATTTTAACACAATTATAAATTCATACTATATACAAACATTCAACAAATAGTGAATTTCATCGGTGTAGACAATCCATGTAGAACCCTTTTTGTGCCAAAATTTGTGCCAATTACTGATCTACCAGTTCCTTCTTAAGTCTCTTTTGTTATTCTCAGGTAGAAAGTGCAATATAAGTGGGAATACCAGCATCCAAACTTGGTTATTTAAAGAACTCCCATCAATTTAAATAATCTTCCGTTATATTTGCATGAACGTAATACTGTTTTCATACAAATTTAAATAGCATATCCTGGCACATCGAGGATCAATTAAAATGCAGTGACATTACAATTGTTTAATTATTTGTACTCTTCCAGGAACTTAAGGTGGAACTGTCTTAGACTCTCCAGCATCGTCTTTATTTTCTCCTTTTGTGGCAAAATTGTTGTCCTAAAATGGAACGTTCCAGGTCGTTGCCCGAAACCTGAGCCAGGTATTACGCATATCCCAGTAGTTTCTAACAGTTTAAAGGCATAGAAAACGTCAGGCTGCTGACCTGCAGCTTCAGCCGCTTGTATGGCCTTTTTTGGTAAATCAATTCGAGGAAACACGTACATAGCTCCCATGGCTGGATTTACCTGTAATTTAAGCAGAAATATAGAGTTAGGAAACCAGTTGTGTGGATGGATCATTCCACTAAGCTATATCTATCCAAATATTTCTTTTACTACCTTGAAACCTGGGATACTATTCAGTGTATCGACCACCAACTTCGACCTTTCCGCCAATGAGCGCAGAGTCTCTTCTTTCTCCTTCTTAAATAGTTCGTAAGACGGCTCGCCTGGTTTCGGTGGATTCACAACAACATCCATTACTACTTGGCCAAGAACAGTGGGACACAACATGGCTGAAATCGACTTCAATAAAATTGCCATAACTTTGGGATCCATATTGATGATTTCAGCGTACCCCCCACGAATTCCACACTCGCCCATGTAACCTTGAAAGAAAATAATTATTAATTGTAATAAGTATACTAAGAGGCTCATTCGTATAAATATTGTTGAGGAACATACCTTTGGATACAGACATGAAAGATGCTAATTCCATTTTTGAGTATGGTTCACCCATCTCTGTCATAACTTTCTTCATTGAGTGGAAGGCACTATCCCTGTCGTAGACGTTATCCTGGTAAACCTCATCGGCCAGCAAGAACAAACGATTCTTGTGGGCAAACCGAATGATATCCTCGATATTGCTGCGGGTGAGGACTTGACCAGTTGGGTTACCAGGGTTTATCACCACCAAAACTCGAGGATTGCAGTTCCTTCTTGCCTCGTTCAATGCGCGATCTAATTCAGAACGGTCCAGAGCCCATTTATTGTCCTCATCTAAATAGTAGCCGATGGACGTCAAACCGAATTCCGCTAGAGTAGCAGAATAGAGCGGATACTGAGGAATAGGAATCATCACACCAGATGGCTTTCCATCTAGTCTTTCATTGAACAATTTCAACACCGACTAAAACAAAATACAATACAAATTAGTATATGTAACATTATTTTAATTTATTTCTAATTTTCTCACTTTGATTCCATCTGATGCACCATTTGAAAGGATGATGTTCTCATAATTGCAGGGAATTCCTCCATCACGATCTTGTATGTACTCAGCCACATGCCTGCGAATAATCTCAATTCCTGCTGATTCAGAGTACGACCCAACACTGCCCCCTTTACATCCACACAGTACATTTCTGGCTCGTTGTTTCGCGTCCTCCGGATAGCTGGGGTCGTCAAGCAACTTTGGCGACACACTCAGAGTGAGAACTTGCCTTAAGAAGGTGATTGGTTGTTGACCCATAGCATGTGCATCTCCCACATTGGCTTTTATCACCTCCTTGAATGGTTTCTTAGCCCCCTGAAAGAACAATAGTTGAGTAAGTAAAAAATAAGTTATTAAATATTATGTAATTTTTTAGAACATGAAATTCTCCAGTCTTACACTGATACATATGCTCATTTATACATATACATGCATGTGTATCGAAATTTTGTTTACATTATACTTAGCATCAACTTGCGCATATTAGTCTTTATTTTTAGTCTATGCGCCGAGCAGGGAATAAACGTGCCGTGAACGCAGAGTATACTTCAACTATAACGATTGAAAATTTCTATTCTAAAATATTGTAAAAAGGGTAATCTTAAAATGTGACCTTGAAATTCAAAGTCAATTTTTTTTTTTTTAAATTTGTACATTACTCGAAGAAAAGTAAAAAACTTTAAAGCTAAAAGTAGTTAAAGTTTTCATACATTCTCGATCGCGCGTAGCAACTCTGCTGCATACTATATGCATGTATACATTAGCAGCTGCTGTTGGCACTACTCCCTATACTTAGATGACTCAGAGTCATGCTATACCACCTGACAAACTATCTGAAGCTTTGGCAACAATTCTTTCAATGAGCCACCTACATAATCATTGAGTGTACTTATGGTTCTAGTTAGATTGTTTTTTATTGATAGACGCACGCCTGGTATCAGTTGATAAGGAAACCCCTCGACCAGGATTTAATTTATCAAGATATTGCCAGAGTATTATATACTTCTTGATAATTCTATTTACATAGTCATTTACTTACACCCTGAGGCTGGCAACATTTTATACAAATAATATTTGAGGAATAAAAACGAATACTGATTTATTTGCAACAATAATTCAAGCAAATAATTGTTTGAAAAAGTTGGATTTAATTATACATAGTTCTTCTTCATGAATAAAATATACGTTGTTGTCTGAATTCCCAGACTATTAAGATGTTTGCTTTCAAAGAAGTTTTAACATTCATACAGTCAATTGAAACAAAACTAATGTATATGTATACTCATGAAAGTCTGACGAAACAAGTAGTAACAATGAATGTTTCCTCTTTTAGAATGATCCATGAGAAGTGTGTGAATAAGTACGATATTTGTATATGTGTAATATGAATATGATATGAAGGCCACAATATGTTTGCAATAGTTTCATCTCTGGGGTCTGTTTATGGTTTCAAATTACATAGTTTCCTCTTACAGAAAGGATCAATAGATACTTCTTCTATGCAGCTGTAAAATCGATCATTTTCAGAAAACACTAATTGAAATCCGATTTTTAGTCACGAATATCTTCAGACCAATTTCAGTAACATGATTCCAATGCTATTGAGGACTAATCGAGCATGCAATCAAAAAGTAGAGCTAAATTTCGTGAAAAGTTCAACAGATCGCAGAACCTGAAGTCCATAGGTCAACTCGGAGATAAAATATCAAAAATATCTTCAACGTACACGCGAAGAGATTAGAAACGAAAGTGGCTTGTTTATTCAATGGACGGCCATTTTGATGCATTAAATTTTGGCGCGTGTTTTGAAACGGAGTACAGTGGCTTGGTTTTTGATAAATTTTTTACCTACTCGTACATCGCAAATAAATTTGAGAGAATACGTTTAAATACGTTTAAATAGGTTTTTTTAGTAAATGTCGCGATACGAGATCGTTTCAAAGAAACATAATTGCCCTTTACTCGCCGACAGTCATGAAATGTTTTGCACGCGACGAAGAATCATTTTCCTCTCACGTCAATTAGCACATCAATAGCACTGCAGACTAAGTATCATAACAAGCTAGAAACATACATAACTGGCATACCTACTCTAATCATCATTGGCTTCAATTATCCCAAGATTCGTGAAACCAATCGAATTTAATCACTCAAATCCGCTATGGAGGATCAGCATAAAAATCTCGGAATACCGAATCGATTTTGCAATTCGAACATGCACTTTTGAAAATTATTGAAAATTAATTAAAATTATAGATCAGAGGGGATTTTCGAGTTCATCAAGGTGTGCGTCGTATCGAATACGTTGACATTTCCTACAATCGGTGTCACTTAGATTTCTGATTTACGATAATGCACTGCAACGAAGCAACGAAGCAACGAAGCAACGATGCTTACCTTTTGTAATTCCTTCTCGATTTCGAGGGCACGTATCAAAAGGGGCCCGCGCACCGCATATTCCATTTTTCTAAGGTTGGTGAAGACGGTGTCCTCGGTGAGGACCTTGTTGCTGGGTGTGACGCTCGCCATGCCGCGACAGAGTATACGGCGGACAGCCGGCCGCTGGACTACCGCCTCTGCAGCCGTCAGACGTGCGGATGGTCTGCTTCCTGGCGTCCCTGACCCCGCAGAGGCAGCAAGTTGTTCCCACGTCCTAGGCCGACTGCTTGCGATAACGGCGTTCCACCAACGTGCCTGCGGCATTGTTCCACCGTGCGTTCCTCTCTCCCTTCTACCTCCGGTTCAATCACTCTGCCGAACAGTTTCCTGTAATTCGCTCGGCGCCCGCGTGGTGGGAGGTTCCGCGCATGTGCGTCGCCCTGAAAAAGTCACGCAAACCGCTGTATATAGCTGAAGGAAAGACGATATGTACCAGCCGCTCTGTCAGCGTTTACATATATATATATTCGCAATATGCATTACGTAACGGAAATTTCTCAGAAATTTCTGTTTATCTGGAAACCATTTGTCGTTTAATTATTGTTTAAATCGTAGAATTTGCATGGACGAGTTAGGGAGCACTGATGGCGATTAAACGAGCACGTGTTATTCAAATTTCGGTAACATTGCACAGGCGCGGTAAAGCAGGAATTGGAAAATTGTTTTTGTGTTCTCGATTAACGGCTGAAGTAGAGAACAGAAGGACACACCCTGTATATTTGCTGCAGCATACATTACGTAATGGAATTCTTTGGAAATTAATTTCCTGTGTTTTAGAAAATAGTTTCTTATCGATTGAAAATCAATTAATTGATCGACTATTTAGTTACCTTTCAGGTTTCAAATTGCGGATAAAAGTAGCTAATACACTTTGAGACTCGATGAGGTGGATATCTGTTGGAATTTTTGGTACAGCGACTCCTACGCGCGATAGAACTAAAGCTACTATAATAACATATACATGGTGTGAACATTAAAATGGGTTTGAGTGCTCCAAGATGCCTTTCCTATACGAAATTATCTTTTAAACGACATTTTTGAACAAAATTATTCTTAACAAACATTTAATAAACTAACAACTGTATTGTTCATATCTGGCAAAATAGGTTCGTTAAATTATACAAAAAATAATTTGATTTTTGTATGTAGTTAATTTCAACTGTAAATATTTAATGTAAATAATCATTTTAAAAAGTTTTCATTACATATTTATTGTTGAATACAACGTTTTAGTTAATAAAAGTCTTCGATATCCAAAAGTGTTTTTATCGAGAATTTGAAATATTCCCGCGGCGCCTCTGTCAGTTCGCTGCTTTGTTGTGGTGGCGCTGCGATGCAATTTTAGAAGCGCATTTTAGAAGTTCCTGGTCTATATCCTTCCATACCTGGCGAACAGGTGTTTCTAAGTTCTGATGTCAATTTTATTGTTTAGTTAATAACTCGTTGACTTAATCCAATAATCAATAGTTTTAATTAATTATAGATAAGTAATATAAAAGTATAATTTAAAATAATACACGTTAATGTTAATGAAAACGTAATTAATTACGTAATGCTGAAGGAGAATTTGAATACAAATATTTCTAAAGAACGTGGCATCCTTTCATCCACATACGTCATCTACTTTCCACTGATATGATCGCTTGAAAGTCCTAATACTGCAACAATCTTAACGAGCAATCTCTTGCTGCATTTCAAGGAGATGCAGTTACTCTCGGGTTTAGCGCAACATCAATTTATTTAAATTTTGCAATTGGAGGTTGTCGCAATTACCATTGGATACCGATTGTCCGACCTCGAGGGGGAAATCTAAATATTCGCCATGACTTAGTTTATCGGCAGCCTCGATCCAGTCTCCAGAGACTAAACCTTAATGGTCCATATTCGAGTATTTATATGATTGCGAACTAGGTCCTAATGATCGATACGATTAAGGTCGTTGCTGCAATCGACAACTCGCGGAACATCGTACTAAGGGTGGTATAAGAACTCTCGGAATCTTCTAAATTTAACTTACGAACTCTTCGAAAACTTCTAATCTCTATTCCAATTGGCTTACCTTGAAACTTGCATAGTTCGGCTCTATCGTATACAAACAGGGTTCCAAGTCGATTTACACAAAGAACAGTTACAACACACACTCAAACTGAAGCTTCAGAGTCTAATCAACGGTGAATGGACGTGAACCATGGGTTCGCCTCTGCAATTTCGATGCCCGCGTGATACGCGAATTCGTTAACGCGTTTAAGTTTCATGGTCTGTCACATAGTGCCGGTAGATTAAATAGAAGGAGGTCCTTTGGAAAGCTTTCTTTCGCATTCTTCGGTTACGTTGCACCGTTCTCTCACCTTAAAACCTCATTCGACGAGCCAGGAATGCGTTTATCAGTTTCACGGAGAGTATCTCAGGCAACGCCACGCGGCCGTTAGCTTCCACGAATTTACCAGTGTTCCTGACTGGAGACCACTGGCTCCTCTGCGTATAAGACGTTGCGGAACGGAGCGTGCGCAAAAGATGGGGCGCCCAAGACGACTGATCGTCCCCCTGGCTATAATCATTTGCTATTTTGTTGGAAGACGCGTTGCAGCAGAGGTCGCGACCTATGTACTATGAACACTCGTCGTTTGTGGATTCTTCTCAACCACGCACTCCGCCTCCACCCCCGAGAGGCGCACGGGGTTGCGCAGAGGTGAAAGGTACATACTGATCGAGGCGACGCGACTCTTTGTTTATTTTGTTAATTGCTGGAACGAATACGAACAGCAGATAGAGACAAAAGGACAGTAGAACGACCAAATATCAAACTATGAAACGTACACTCACTGATATGCCATTCAAACTAGAACAGGACTCTAGACTCACTCAATGTTCAGCTCTCGATAATATCGAGTCGATATCGATGTATTTAAATATTTTATGAATCATTTATATTTTAATTTATCGGTGAATATATTAAAATAATAAGTCATTAATATAAAACAAATGGTTTTTACAATATTTACATAACACACGTTTTTCTATTTTATCTTCGAGTCAAGTATTAAAAAATTTGGAAAAGACATGACCTTATCTTGCGATCTTATTCCATTCGATTAAAAACTGCAACAGGTTTTTAATCGAGAATTTCGAATCTGAAGAATGCTCCCAATAAACGATGTAATATAATAATGAAAGAGTCAAGTGGAAAAGTTCATCGACATTGAACTACCGCGCTGCAATGACGTAGTTTGTCATGCGGTCTGCTTGAAGTGGCTCGCAGAGGTTAGGTTCATTGATATTGCCAGCCATAACATAAACAATTTTTAATTATGTATCGTTGATCGCTACAAGAGACCAGGGGGGAACGGGGCAAAGGATGCTGTCATTTTTACGCAAAATTTCAATCGGGGGGAAGATAAGAGATGGTCTGCCAACAGGGGACGAAATGGAGGTTACAGAAGGCTTTCCAGACAACAAAAACAAAGTTCTGATCTCCCAATCCGACACCGAACTCAAGGAATCCGTTTATGGCAAGTTCACCCTTAATCCTTTACGTAGTTCTCATAGTCTCGTTTCAGCTGACATTGTCAACCTTTGATCTACTATTTAGTTTGTGAAATACTTGTGACATGTAACCGAATTTTTAGGCTTGAACAAAGTGAACACTAATAACGATTGTTACAGACCTACTCAGAACTATCAAGGACCCTGAAAAACCACAAACACTGGAGCAACTGGATGTTGTCTACGAAGAGTGCGTTGAAATTTCCAAACAAACACCCAATGGAGTCACTGTTATACGTATCGAGTTCAATCCAACCGTTCCTCATTGTTCTTTAGCAACATTAATTGGTCTTTGCATTAGAATTAAGTTAGAACGTCATTTAGTAGCTCTTTTTAAGCTAGATATATATATTAAAAAAGGTGCTCACTCCACAGAACAAGAAAGTAAGTACATGTTACATAATATAAGACTAGTCAGTCGATTAAACAGTTTATGTTTCAGTAAACAAACAAATAAATGATAAAGAGAGAATTGCAGCGGCTATGGAGAATCCAAGCTTGAGAGAGTTGGTAGAAAAATGTATTCAGGAAGAGGAGTGAAACTTGGATTATTTTATGGGTTCTGGTAAATTTGGCACTGCGAAATGACAGTGCCTGGGGTTAATTTTATGTGATAATTTAATCAGGAACTGTGAAACTATTGAAATCTTGTTACCTTTAAATTTTGTTCTTATGTTAATGGAATGCTTTCTTACAAAGCGAATGGTATTAAGGACATATAGTATTCTGTACACCTGGTGGAGACAATTTTAAATAAAATAATTCTAATATCTATTTCAAGAGAGTTAAATACATTTTACCATAAATTTCACGACATATCCTTACGATGATGGTTGAAACCTTGAATTGAAAATGCAATATCACATTTGTAGACTAATTTAACCAACTATTCCATATTCATGAAAAGATAAGGTAGAAAATATAGCAATTTCGCTGATGAGTCGATGACTTGAACTGCATTCCAATGCAGCAAGTTCTAATTAACTATAAGTGAATTATAATTATTGATTAATCCAACAACCACGAGTAATTATTCTAAAAATAATCATAGCGCTGTGGTTAATGCCAGTTTTCGATATAGAAAGGCTCTAACCTGACAATTATCGCAGGCAAGGAAGCAAGCAATTCCGCCAATCTTTTGTCTGGCGGAAGGACAGTTCCTTTTTAAGAATCGATTACAACTACTCGATTCCAATGGAAGAAAAACGAATTCTAGCACCGAAAGACTGCTTCGAGGAAGCTCGCGGGTAACGGGCGAAGGGGGAAACGATCAGTGAGAGGTGCCGGGGCGAGCTGGGAATTATCCAGGGCCCCTTTCAGGCCCCCGAAGATGTTCCCCAGACGGTTAGGTGGGAAGAATCTGGGTTACTCGAGCCAGAAGGGAATGTGGGCCGGCTATATACCGGTTGCCTGCTCGTACACCGCAGTTCATTCTTCTTTCTAGTCGCGATCGACGAGTCGTGGACGAGCTTGCGTGTCATTGGATCAACCGAATTCATTGGAGCTTGACGGAAGCAATATTAGATACGAGATAGAAGTCACTCACGTATCATTTTCCACGTTAATTCGTCGCCTGGATCCAAGGATCTTTCAGGACTGGGTTGGTTGGTTTCAGGATCCAGGGAAGCTTCTTTCAGGTAAGTGCACCCGGAGAAATCGAAAGCAGTGACCTCGTGATCGAACAGTCACCTAGCATGACCCATAGAAGCGTGAACTCTCCTGAGCTTTCTCTTTGCCGATCCTCTTCCTATTAACCATTTTCGCGCGTCCCTTTCGCATTTGCGCGCCATTTTCACGACAATCGCGCGAGTGTCGCCTCTGCTGTGATTGACAACGTATTATTCGAATGAGCACGAGACGAATAAAGCCAACTTATACCGATTAATATCATATTAATTAATACATTATTTAATACATTATACGTGAAACATATACGTATAAAAAAATATATTTAATATATTAAATATATTAAATATATTAAATATATTTTAATATATTTAAGTGTGAGCATAACCTTACTGTATTTTGTCTTTCATGAAAATCAGACACTTATACGAATATTGATATTCATCTATAAAATGTAGAAATCGTGTATAAAGAAAAATTTGTTTATCTGTTAACAATTTGCAGGATGTTCAATTTCATTGTTACGCCCAATTAGCGAGTAATTTTGCTTTCTCTTCGGGTAAGATATTAAAGTCTTTGTTTTGGGAAACAAAAGAGTACGTAATTGGTACCTCCCTAATTACCGTATAGTAAATTAGTTTTAATTAATGCATTTTCCTGGATTGCCTGTTTGATCGTTTTTTTTTTTTGTTTATGTTCCTTGTATTATTGTACTTTTACCAAATTCACACCGCAAGTTATTCGCACGCTTTCCCCGCTCAAGAAATTTAGTAAAACAATCCCCTAGTGGCGTCTCCTCGTTAGAAATTACTAAACAGGATATGCTAATTACGCCATGTTCGAAAAATAATTCTGGAAGTTACAAAAAAATATGTATACGTATATACCGCGAAAGGTTCGAAAGTTTTAGTCACCCTTAGTTACGTCACTGAATTCAACACGTTACATAGTCTCGAGATTCGAGTAAATTGTTTTAAAGATAATCTTACTTTCTCTTCGATTTGTGAACTCCGTGGAGATTTATCTTGGCGAAGGTACTTTCCTTGCGTAAGACCGATGCAAGTACTATGAACGCAACCACGCACGTGTAGTGCATTGACTGGGAAATTCCTTATAGCTGGATGTTACGATATCATCCATAAAAGAGAAAAAGGAAAAGATCCGGTATTTTTGCCGTCTCTTTTTTACTGAAATTGTTCGATAACCGAAGGTGGAGAGAAATCTCTTAACTTTATCAAATATTCCGTTCTGTCTGTTGTATTAATTTAGGAGGCTCAATTTTTCAATGTAATTTAAATGCTATTTTTGATTTAGAATGCCATATTGAAGACATTCGTATCCAAAATATGTGTACAGAAAACGCTTTCGAGGCAGCAAAAATAAATAGAGCACGAAGAGGTAACGATCGACGATCGATCGGAACCAAGCGAAAGTCGAAAATGAACCGGCACCGATTTTCTTCTTTTCTTTTTTCCGTGGAACGCATCGGCATGCGATTCAATCATGATTCAATGCACACTTGGTTGACATTACTTCTACTCTACATTTTGCAAATAATGAAAATTTAGGCGACGTACATATATCGAGATTATGTAAACCTGCGAACATAGAAAACATTTGTCATAATTACTCCCTGTGATTAGAGACATTGAAAATGTACAAGGGAATTGCAAGGGAATTGCTATGTAAACCTGCGAACATACAAAACATTTGTCGTAATTACTCTCTGTGATTAGAGACATTGAAAATGTACAAGGGAATTGCTAGACGAGTTAAGCACGTAAAGTACAAATAAAGTAGTAAAGATACTTATTAGGCTAGGTGTGGTTACTTATAGAAGTAATAATACTTACTAGGCTAAGCGTAGGTAAGCGTATCATTAGTTATGAATTATTGTTTCGGACCAGATATTTCTATTATACCATGCAGCTAATTTGTTTTGTTCGACCAATAAACTGAGATTGAATTTAAAATGTTTTTCGTTTGTTTTCTTTTCTTCTTCGGCGAACAACATATTCGAAATTCAAATTAGAAAATATGAAACTCTAGTTTAATTGTTTTTGAACAGTGACATTTCGACTGAAGTGATCAAAGACTTAGAGATGTCTTTCTATTGGTTTTTTTTTTCTTTTAGATGGTTCCCCAAAATTCCACATTTACTTGGGCTCTGTGAAAGTATAATGCGCCACTGCTCGTGCTCGCTTTTTGTATCGATGTACTCGTCCCGAATACCCAAGACCTCCCCATATGCAGCATGCTTACCGACAGACGAGGAGCCGTTAAGAGAGACCCAGACCCAGACAGACACACAGCCAACTCTGTAATTGGACGATGTAAACCCGGCCAGATAACGGTTCCACGAGCACACACGCGGATACGAAATAAACCCATCACAGAGTAGAGTTTAACAGAGGTGAAACTCTCGTTGGAACCTTTAATATTCATGTCCCCGTATTTTCAGGTTAGACCTGCCGATAAGCAAATTAGACCGATGGCTCCCAATTACGCCCCTGCCTAAACTGTATCTGCGGTAGTTTCATTTACTATAGTCTCGTCAAGTACAATTGCTTTCGTACGAAAATTCACTAAATACAGTGACTCCCAGAAATATTCGGACACTAGTGTATGGTTAGTTTTATGACTTAATATCGTAGTTATTAAAAAAGCATTTGTCTTCGTTACTTTTTCTAATAATAAGTCATTTATTAATGTCATTAAAGATGTATACGTTAATCCAAAAATTTACATAAATTACATAATAGCAATAAACAAACGAAAGAATATCACGTTTTCGGGTACGATAAAACACGGAGGAGGCATTGTAATGGTGTGGGGATGCATTTCGACTTCCGGCGTTGGCAATTTAGTTTTTATCGATGGCGTCATGGTTAAGAATGCTTATTTGAATCTTTTAAAAAGCAATTGAAAACAAAGTGCAGACAAAATGGGGATTGCTGAAGATTTTTAATTTTACCAGGATAATGATTCTGAACATAAGTCGCGCATTGTCTAAGAATTTTTATTGTATAATTGCCCCAAAGTGCTTCGTCCACCTCTACAATCACCAAGCCTTAACCCTATAGAAAACTTACGGGATAAGTTGAACCAACGGATTCGCAAGGCACCCATTCGTTCCAAAGAAGAACTTAAAATTAGGCTTCAAGAAGAATGGGCAACCATTCTCGACAGAATATTTAAAAAAAATAATTTCTAATACGCCAAATCGATTGAGACATATTATAAAAGAAAAGAGATTTGCAACAAAATATTAATGTGGAACATATAATGTTTAATTTTAATTAATAAATGTTATTCCTCGTAGTGTCCGAATATTTTTGTGACCCGAAAATACGGTATTTTTTCGTTTGTTGATTGCTATTATGTAATTTATGTAAATTTTTGGATTAATGTATATGTATATAATGTATATGATCGTTAATAATGTTAATAAATGATTTATTATTGGAAAAAGTAACGAAGACAATTGCTTTTTTAATAACTACGATATTAAGTCGTAAAGCTAGCCATACACTGGTGTCCGAATATTTCTGCCAGTCCATGTAATTAACAAATTCCTCGATCTTTTCATTAACACAGATCTTGATATTTTGATAAGAGAAGGTAAAGTTTCGGTTGGTACTAAGAGCACTAAAACTTGAATTTAAATAATCTTTTTTCGATGTTTCGAGTGTTTCAGTCGAGTGGTTCTTAAAAGAAGAAAATTAGAATCGTCCAATCATCGAGAGGCAGTAGATAGAAAATGATTAAATTACCGTTGTAACGACAATCACGAGATCTATTAGGAAACTTGCAAAATTTCCTAAATAAAATATCCGCGTTGAGAAACCGGAAAATACTTTTTTGCATCGAGTTTCTCAACCCTCTGCAACAAGCCTGTAACGATTGCACAATATAAGTGTGCGAGATTGTCGTTAACAAAATATTGCGTAGAAAGCCTCGTCCGGTCAACGACCGTCCACTTTGGAAATCCTAACACCTTCGGTGCAAATTACACATTGCCACATACTTAGCTCATTTCTATCGTGTTGAAGAATCAATATTTCGCTTAGCTTTCGATTCACCTTCTACGAAAATCTCGACATGCGACCAATAAAAGAGTCAAGCGTTGCTCAATTTACAACACAACTACAGAATCCATTTACTTTCACGTGAAACTGCTCGATGTTTACAGAAAGGGGGAAAAAAATGTCGAAACGTTATCGGAATGAACATACGGTATTATATGTACTCTCGTGTCACAAATGTCGAGTCCAGTGTGCCCAATGCCCATACGTAAACACAGCACTGCCCAACGTTGCGTGAATAAACGTTTAAAACGTTCCACTGTAATTAATGATTATTCGTGCGACTCTAGAAACAATGTAAAGATGAATTGCAAGGTTCGGCGTAGGTATTCATCAACGGTAGTTACGAGTCGCCAATCGTCTTGAGTTTAATTCCTTGCAATTGCTTTAATTCTGTCGCTTCCGGAATAAAGGAACAGAAGAGTCTTCCTTCATTCCGGGCGAACGACCGCTGACACTCTAATTTTCAGTGAAAGCTTTCTATTAAGAACAGGACATTGCTGAGCTGGTAATAGAACGGAATTTCAAATGAGGGTTATTGTTATTCAATCGGGCAATCGTACACGAAAAGAAAGAGCCAAACGATAATGGTAATGCGGTAGAATCTGGATTATGCAAATAGTTGGAAAACACGATACGAAACGTAGCTTTCTTTCGAAAACATCTAAATCTAATCCCCATGCATCTAACAGCTCCGTCTAATAACCCTGCAGTACGTAGGAGGTTAAAAGGATCGGTCTTGGCGACAACATTGTTCGAATAATAATCGCGATTGCACCGTAATTGTATCTCACACTCATTGTCAGAGGCGCGCTCCAGCTATTAATTGCGAATCGTCCGCTGTGTCGCGGAGACGATTTAGAAAGTTGCAACAAGTCCATAGTGCTCTAAGGAAAGTTAACGGCGTGTTGTAAAAAACGAAGACCTGTTGCAAAACCTCCTCCCCATTTTTCACTGTCGTTAGCGTGAGAGGAATCCTCCGAAGCAGAGACTCCTTTCCTTCTCGAATCATAATTCACTCCTGAAAAGTCTCCTTTCACCCTCCACAAACATACGTTCTCAGGGAACTTTTACCTACTAAAGATTCAGAACGGAAAATGTCTTCTCTATCTAAACGTTTCCTTTTAATGAAAGCGAAACCGAGGTATAATTAAGAAATTCCTAAGAATGTTTCCTTTCAAATTTGTTCTTTAACCCACAATTTTGTAATATTGCTTCTAAAAATTAAATGCATTCTTTCTTCGGGCTGAATTTATTAATGTTTGATTTAAATTTTATTCACTTGTGTCGTCTTTATTTCTTTCTTTAAGAATAAAAAATATGAAGATATTATGGCTGATGGTCCTACTTGCTGGGGTCGTGGTAAAGGCTCAACGACGACTTGCCCTTCCCGATCCACGTAGCTGTGCCAATCGTGAGTATCCCTTAACGAAGTTCCTAATCCCTTAATTCCTTTAATTAAGTTTGACATAATTCGTGGAATTTTGTTTCAGGAGTACGACATGCTACCTACAGAGATGCTAGAGGAGTTGGTCATTCGTATTTCTTCAGTTGGGAGCACCAACCGACTAGAAGTTTAGAGGTAGATTGGTTGGATGCACGTAATATTTGTAGGAGACACTGTATGGATGCAGTTTCCCTTGAAACGCCACAAGAAAATGAGTTCATTAAACAGAGACTCGTCAGAGGTAAACATTGACTCAGTTAATCGACACCCTACAAGTAGATCTAACCTAAGTTCCGAAGGTAGAAATTAGGATTCGAAAGCCTATAGTCTTCTGGTGATGACGTATTATAACTTTGAAATTTTGTTATGAATAGGGAACGTGAGGTTCATTTGGACATCAGGGCGCAAATGCAACTTCAATGGTTGCGACCGGCCAGATCTTCAGCCCCAAAATGTTAATGGATGGTTCTGGTCAGGTTCGGGAGCTAAAATAGGCCCCACCACTCAGCGTAACTCTGGTGACTGGAGTAACACTGGTGGATACGGACAGCCCCAACCTGATAACCGTGAAGCTGCACAGGTATGTCAATTTTTAAAACGTATTTCTATAACAAACAAACAATATCACTAAAGCCGTCGGTGGAAAAACACCCAAGTTTGTAGTTAAAATAGTTCACCCTATCATCGCTAGATGGAGTATGATTATCACTAGTGGCGCCATTGGTAGCATAACGCCCAAGTTTATAGTCGTAATAGTTCTTACAATTTCTATAAGATGACGCCACCGATAGTGGACTATCTAGTAGACTGTATTATACTAGAAGTAGATAGTAGATGCTATTATACTAAACGTAGATAGTAGACGCCATCTAGCAGGAATAATGGAAACTATTTTCATTACAAACTTAGGCGTTTTTCCACCAATGACGCCAGTGAATGTAAACCTCAGAGGAAGAGTGGGGGCATTAAAAAACTGATGTAGACACGGGGTTAATATTAAAATAATCAACTGATGTAATAAATATTGTCTGTTATAGGGTAACGACGAGTCCTGCCTGTCTATTTTAAACAACTTCTACAACGACGGAGTCAAGTGGCACGACGTGGCCTGTCATCACCGAAAGCCATTTGTCTGCGAGGACAGCGACGAACTTCTCAACTTTGTGCTCTCTAGAAATCCTGGCATTCGCCTTTAATTTCCCCACCAACAGCTTCCATTAACTCTCGACCGTTCAACTGAGTTCATTGGATTCCAAGGAAAACGATGCAAATAAAAACTTCCACATCCATACTGTATAATCGTTCATCATACCTTCATTATTATTAAATACTAAATGCGATAATGAAATAATCGTCGTAAATATCAAGAAGTTTGTTTTTAAGATTAAATGCACCATGAAGTTGAATGATCGAGAATTGTATTAGACTTATCATCAAGTGGAACCTGTGTTCACCTACTATAATTTTTGTACTCTTTTCTATAGAAAATAAAAAGCATTCGACAATACTTCCTCAGTTTTTTTACACAAATTTACACAATGTTGAATTTTTACAAAATTTTTATTTACCCCTTATCAATATCGCGTTGCTTATACTTTTAAAGCATACTTCCTTGGAGGGAAGGCAGACCGCTTGCGAATTTCCTTCTGGGTCTTTCTACTAGCTTGATAAGGTGTCAGTGCCCTTCTGAGTGCCCTAGTCTTCTTTGGCCTCAAATCCAGGGGCTTGTATTTTTTGTTTTTGTATAACAGCCGCAAGTTCTCCTTCTGCTTTTGATGCATAATGATGTATACTCTAGCTATTGCCTTCCTCACAACTCGACTGAAATTTACACAAATGAATGAGTTAATAATGATAATTCAAAATATCATTAACGATTAAAAGTTCATAGAATAGTCCAACATGAAAGTTAAAGAATCTTTCTGATCTAAAACATTGAATGCACCATTTTTGTGCAAACTATAAAAATTTATATTTACATCTTGGAAAGTTTGGAAGCAGCTCCTCCTGTAACCTTCGCAACTCGAAGATTTGTCAGCTCCATCTTGAGCTCCTCCAGCTGCTTTAGCAGCTCCTTCTTGTCTTTTGTCCTCAGCTCGGTGCACTTAACCTTACCCTAAAAAGAATAACATCACAATTTTATGTATTTCACTTTCACACACTTCTCTTTCCACGACTTTAAACATTCAAGAAGACGTTTATTTTTCTATTTTATTGCCAAATGAAAATATATCGTTTCACGGTTTCTATACGATGTTAATTTTTAAAGAAAAAGCGAGAACTTTAACTCTAGTTTTAATCATTATTCAGATACGATCAGTATTATTGAAGGTAATTCACAAATTAAGACATTTTTCACCAAAATCGATGTGTTAAATATTTTGTTGAAATGAAAATTAAGGTTATGAAGTTGTTTTGCACGCTATTCAAAGGAGGAAAACTTTATAAATATTTGACTTCAGATTATGCTTAAGAAAATTATGATTAGATTTCCAAAGAATGACCGATTAGGATGTTTTAAATAAAAAGGGATTTTCAATCGTTCACTAACCATCTTGCAGATATTCCTCTTCAACGGAAAAAGAAACAGAGAAGAAAATCACGAATTACCGAGACGTAGATAGACATTTGCGGTTACAATTTAGACGTAAGCCATCTGGTGAGCAAAATAAGAAACTGTACGGCGTATGATGTTTATGGTTGTCTGGCAATTCCTCTATGTATAATGTCACTTTAAGGTTATGTTGAATATGGTTTAATACTAATTGAAATTTGTAATTTCGAATGTACATATTGAGGTTAGAGTACGAGAAGATATAAAGTTTAAAAGATTATTTAGAAGAATATCTACAACGTTTATATAAGAACTCCAACAATAAAGTAATTCGTACTATCAAATGAGAACATTTGTCGGTGTAAAACGCTTCGAGAATAGTTACATTTTTTAATTTATAAGCAAAAAATGTTGATTACTGTATTTCAATGTATAATATAAGAAAATAAACACTGTTACCCTTAAACGAATCTATTAATAAATATATTGGATTGTATTCATACTTTCGAATAAGCGTTGTTAATTAACCTTATTGTCTTAACGATGAAGAACGTGGATGAATTGCGAAATTTACAACATACACTCTTAGAAGATGTGTTTTTAAAGGTAGATTGTTAAAAGAAAATAAGAAATAATGAATCGCATAATTAATTACGAAACATTACTATCAGAAAAGAATCCATATTTTACGAAATAATGTTTACTTCGTTGTCTGTGAATAATTATTATACGAAATTGAATAAATCACTCTACCTCTGAAATTTAGACTTGTTTATTTAATCTGAGTTTAATGAGTCTGATAAACAATTAAATATTAAATTGAAGGGAATACAACGAAATGAAGAACAATGCAAAGTATGGACAGCCTACAAAAATGGTCATCTGAAAGTTGCAGAGGCGTTGGGTTCCCTACAGAAGGAGGTATATGTAAATTGTATGGTGCCAATTGGAAAGAGAGCATTGATGAAAGGAAAATTAATTCATACTAATGAAGTGTTAGCTTGTTTGGGTGATGGATATTTTGCAAAATATAGTGCTTCAGGAGCACAAGCACTCTGCGAAAGAAGAATACAACGTATGTTTGACAAATTATACATTTATTGGGTAAGTTGAAAAAAGTGTAAATAATGTAATAACAAATAAATCTTTTGCATTAGGAGCAGAGGAAATGTTAAAGGATTTAAGTGGCGAAAGAGATCTGTATGAAACTAGAATGATGATAGCAGAGACTGATCTTTTCACAGAGTGTGCTGGCAAGGAAATTGTAGAACATTGGAATGAAGACCAAGTTGAAGAATGGAAAAGTAAAATGATTTCCCTTTGTTCTTTTTGCATCATTCTAGTAAACCTTTGTTTTTTTTGCAGAGAAACATAGGGAAAGAGAGAAAGAATACAATCAGAAATTAGCCAAACTCAGACAAGAAGAGAAAAGGAAGATTGATACAGAGGAAGATCTCTTTCACAGACTTGATCAGCTTGAACTAGAAGAGGAGCTAGCAGATGAATATGATAGGTATTTCATAATACAATTACTTGTTTTATGTATCTAAGGTGTTCTTTTTTATAGATGGGAAGATGAACGACGTGAATTATTTGGAGATGACTTAGAAGAAGATGAAGATGAAGATGAAGATGATGAAGAAGAAGAAGAAGAAGAAGAAGAAGAATGTTCCAATGAATCAAAAAGTTCCTCTGAAAATGATAAGAAAGATCCCAAGGAGAAGGAGACATCTGTCTCTGACTCTGAAAATAAGCAGTCTAAAGAGAGCATTGAGCATTGCAGACTGAAAAAATCAGTTTCTTTTGCAGACCAAGAGGATCTTCTAAATAAAAATGAAGTCGAAACTTCAGCGAAAAAAGTAAATGTAGAAAGTTCAGAGGAAGATGTTCTTCGGATAGAGTTTAGTCACTCTCAAAATAATCCAGTTGTAAAGTCGGACGACGATACGATAGAAACACCAGCAGATATTTATAGGATATTTTCAAAGCCTAAATCTATTTTAAGGAGATCACCGAATGATGTTGCTCCTGTACAGGTTGCTCCTCCTGAGTACAGTACAGAAGAAGAGGAAGAAAACGAAGAATCTATAAAACCTTCCGCATATGAAACAGTAAGAGCTTGATATCGAAGTAAAATAATTTTATATAAAACTGATATTTTTATGATTCATAGGTGGTGAAAGATATCAAGGAAAGAATCTGTGAAAATTTGCCTTTGGTACCTGATGTAGCTTCAAAAGCAGACACAGAAACCCGACCAGTTAGTAGATTTAAAAAAGACCGACAGTCGAAGAAGTAACAAGCAGTATTAGAAAATTTCTACGATGTCAATTTTGTTAATAAAAATTCTCTTATAATTAAAATTGTGATTTATTTTATAAAACACCCTCAACCTCATTTTAAGCCGTCGGCATTATGGGAGAGGAAGACGGTTATATAAATTAATAACAGGAGAGAGAAGAACGGATATTACTTATTGTTACATTTTGGTCACCGATTCCTCTCCGTTTCCAGGAACAATTGCCTTTCCTTATTGGAAAGACAGGAACAATTACCAGGGATTCGTCCGTATAAATAATGAAGAACTGTCCCTAAGAGTTCGAATTGCCCAGTCGTCTTCCGCCATAGAAATTTATTTAAATTGCGAGAGTTCATTATCGATGTAATAACGCGTATGAAATCTGTTGTAACATCAGGAAATTAAGACCTGAGATTGTTTTCGTCGTTTCCTCGTGAATATCAATCGGAATAAATTGATTGAATATTTTAATATTTTACAGGTAGTCGGTTAATAGGTTTCTTATCACCGACTGATGGTTTATTAAGGGTCTTTTTATTTCGAACATTTTGTCAGGAATCCCCCACTGAACGATGACTTTCTTAATTCATTATTCGCATCATGCTGTTTCGTAACGAACTAGAAACACCGAAGAACATAGAGGAGAAATGACTGAATTTGTCTGAAGGGTGATTGCATAATATCGGAATGAATTTAGACCATCCTCCTTCGAAGCCGTAATGACCTTGTCCATCATGCTGGCTCGAGAGAGATTACCGAAGGAGATTGCTTTGAGGATCTCTAATCCATCAGGAGAGAGTGCCAGTCCCATTGTGTAACCGTATTTTTTATTATCAAGGATACCCATAAGTAACGTCAATTTTTTGATATCGTATACAATTTTATTTTTATTTTTATAAGACTTTTCCCTGAAACTGGGAAACCCACGTACGAAAAACTAGCATAGATAGCGGCGTTGTTAATTAAATATAGCGTCCTACGAGGGAGCACGTGTTTATCGCAACGCGACTGCTTCCTTTCCGTCGTCGTAACGGCGAATAACAATTGGGGAAAGGTTACGAAAGGAATCGAAAGTGAGAATTCGCACACTAAATAAACAATAAACCAGTCTTGATTAGGTTCCGTTTGACTCTTTGATCAGGAGATTAGATCGGGGTTGCGATTGGGACCATTGTCGTAAACGAGATCGACGATTACTATTATCTTGCACCCTCTAATCAGAAACTAGTCCTAGGATGATCGTGCAAGCTAATTAGCTTCAGCTTTTCGATACCTTTGATAAATTGAATGGGGGATTGAGATATTAAAGAAAATTCAAAATTTATATTATATTATAGCTATGATATATTAGGTTGTCCAGAAAGTTTGTGCCAATTTTTAAGAGAACTTCAAAGGCACGTTTCAATTGTAATATACATTTATTTATATGTATATTTATTGAGTTACATGGCTACCATTTTGTTCCACAACCTTTCCATCTTTTAAGGGATGTACATATACAGGGTGTCCCAAAAGTCGGGGAGGAGCCGGAAATGGGGGGTAGCTGAGACGATTCTGAACAACAATTTCCTTTGCAAAAGGAGATATTAAGCGAAAACCCCGACCAATCAGAGCGCGCGTAGACCGTTGGAGCGGCCGCGGTAGCGAAGGCTATGTGCTAAGCGGCCGCCCTTGTACGCGAACAAGTGACTCGACGTGCATCGAAGGACATTGACGCTGCCGCCTAGCGCGTACCCTTCGCTACCGCGGCCGCTCCAACGGTCTACGCGCGCTCTGATTGGTCGGGGTTTTCTCTTAATATCTCCTTAACGAAGCCCCATCCGACATTTTTGCAAAGGAAATTGTTGTTCAGAATAGTCTCAGCTACCCCGCATTTCCGGCTCCTCCCCGAGTTTTGGGACACCCTGTATATGTTATTTGTTGTCAGCCATTTCGACACATTCAGACCTGCAACACCTATCAAAAATCGGCACGGACTTTCCGGACAACCCAATACTAGTGTATAAATGTAATCAGGATTCTCAATTGTATCAAGTATGAGAAACAGTAGAAGAGGAATTTCTATCTCTATTATTATTTTGTATTGCCATGTATAATAAAGTAAATCACGGTATCTTTTTGGAAATCGTCAAAGTAGAAAATGAATTAATCGAAGAATATCTACAACAACTGCCACGAGAAGTGGAACGATAAAGTAATTCGTGTAACGAAACGTAAAAATTTGTCATCGTAACCAGCGGCTAAATAAGAAAAACAACCAGACAGATCTCATCGAGTTCCCTCAACCTAGACCTAAGATTTTTCCTGATGTATGCGCATTCCACGATACGTGCAATTTGCCAAACAGGGACGCAGTCGCAGAATCGAATGTCTGCGTTTCCCATTTGATAACCATCTATCCTTCTGATTGCCACACGTTTCGTACGGTTCGGCGAGGGAGGTAGATGGGAAGAATCCGGTCAGGATTACGCAATCCTCCGAAAACCAAGATTCGCTCCGCGGATGGACAATGGTCCTGCCTTAATTAAGCCTCGATTGTCTAATTAGCCGACGCGAGGAGCGTCGAGCCGCGAGGTGCTCTGTGTTAGGCTGTCCCACGAGGTGAAGTAATCAGCTTTCTCCAACTCTGGAAGAGACAGACGGGTTCCTCTCATAAGCTAGACGGCCCCGAAATCGCGCCTGCTCCGCCGAACAATGGGAAGTAAAGCGCGGGCTTTCACACACGCCTCGTGTTTCTATGTGAACTAGAGTACGCGGACAAATAGAGACGAACAGAGTGAGAAAGGGGAAATCTATTTTTCACATTAAAGTTTCAGGTTTTGAAAAGATTTCGGCGCGAGAACCGCGGACGGAATTCGAAAAAGTCAGATTATGAAGTATTTTTAACTGAACTTAACATAAACGTAAACGATTGAATGTAAAGGCAAGCTAAACGTTATGGCTACTAAACTTCAAATACGTATGTAGACGCTTTGCGATGACCACCAGGTTGAGACATCAGTAGACTGCGGAAGTTTATGCATTTATAGGAAATTTAAATCTGCAAGAAACTACAAAATGCAAACGATATGCAAGAATATAAAAAAGATTGAAAGTAAAGCTCATGTTATGATATTTGCAGAATAAAATAAATTCGCCAAGATTTTATTTTGCATAAAGATCCGCAGTCTAGACGTCAGTTACAGTCTAACGCTTAAACATAGTATTAGAATAAGCCACCTGAAACTGTATTTGCTAAAACGATTTTTGTTTCCAAGTGTAGCAGCAAATAACCATTGGATTTATTTCTCTCGCTAAACTTAATTCCGTTCTCGAAAACGTCCCATAAAATATTCTGCAAAACGAAGTGGTACCCCGCGGCGCTACCAATTCAGAGGCGTATGAAATCTGAACGATGTTCCGTAGGGATCCACGAGGAATCCTCCACCCTGCCTATAGATCCTTCTCCATCCGACGGCGAATCCGTGCCCGACAGGAAGTGAATCTTTGTAGGCGTAGAGTGTGCTCTCTGTATATAAGCCAGGTATGCGGCAAAACGTCACCATATTTCAGCAATTCGTAGACAACGGTGCTCGGGTACTCGCTATTGTTCCCAGTATGGATAAGACAGTGCGACAGGTAAATAACAAGTGACCGAAAGCTTTGCTACTTTGGTGCCACGGTGCTTCCCCGGCTTCGACGGTAGCTGCACGTGCCAGTTCCGTCGTATTGTTGATTTGTGAGCAGTGATCACGGTGCAACTTTATTTCCGAGTTTTTAGCTGTTTGTGGGATCCAGTTTCGACGACTACGACGGTATATTCCGATTCGAAACGATAGTTTCCTGGTGATTCTTGAGATTTTTCAGACCATACGTCAGATTCAAATAGTTGCAATTGATTCTGGCTTGGTTTTAAGAAGGTTTGGTCTCCTATCTTTATCCATTCTTATTCTTTTTGAAACTTTCAATGTAATACCGAAGAACACAATCTTCTATTATCTGAATCAGTGTCTCCATCGTTGAGTAAACGGATTTAAACGAACTTTCTTTTTCAATCTTTTATATTCGTTCAAAGTTGAATATCGAATTTATCGAGTTCCTTATAATTCGCTCCGTTCAATCGAGTAACTTTTGCAAAAAAACATTTGTCGCTAGGTTCAATTTGAGAAACCCTGACATAAATGCAATTGCTCGCGTGTAATCATCTCCATTAATGCACTACAAGATACACGCGAGAATATAAATAACAACATGAACATTTCCCAACCTGCTACGCGCAGCTATTCATTAAATGACATAATGCATGCTACGGTATTCCTTGTAAACGTTGCGTGTTTGGAGGAGTGTGGCTGGTTCGTTGCTGCTGGAAGACTTTAATGACACGGTAGAACCTCGATTATTGCACCTTGGATTATTGCTTAAGACCCTCGTTCCTTGCGCGGTGTCGACAAGTAGAGGAAATGGTCGCTAAACAATAAATAAGCTTATCCCAGAAACCTCGATTATTGCGAAAACCTTCAACTAAATTCAAATTCATCCGATCACGGGATATTTAACCATTCCGATTTCAACGATACGCTCCGTAAATCAGGGATGATTCTCTCCTAATTACGTTTAATAATTCTAACCGCGACATGGATGTACTAACGATACTCAGCTCTCATAATTAGCGATCTAATTTTCAACACCTTGTCTCTCGCACAAGCAAACAATGGCATCCTTACTCGTATCGATTTAATCTTAATTTCTTCATTTTAAATGTACTTTCCTTCGATTCATCGCTACTTTCTACGATAATACATTACTTTTGCGAATATTTATTTACCCCAAGTGATTCTAGTAACGACGTTTTAATTTTTAGTTATGGCTAGTGTTGGTGGTGAGCATAGGAATGGTGCATTGCGAGCCTCAGTTAAACACTCAATACGGAGTTCCAGGGAATTATGCTGGCAATAACAATCAGGGTTCGCCAGGTGGAGGGAACAATTTCGGCGACCACCATCACTACGACAATGGAAACGACAACGACTACGATCAGGTCAGTGATCGGGAACACTTGATATCATCCAATCTCGTAATAAAGTCTCGTTAAACGTACAAGCTCGGAAGTGAACTTGCGTTTATTGTACAATTCGTATATTGTCTAATGTTTATCAACGAGCTTCGAACGTGTCGACGACTTTTATTGTTGTATTCCACATCTCAGATCATGTTACTTTCCACTCGAGCCATCTGCATTCATAAAATGTTATTAAAGATTAAATATTGTACGATTATTCAATTTCCAAGCGAACAGGTTACCTGAATTTTAATTCGTAAAACGACTTGAGAACGATTCAGGTTAGAGCCTTGCTGCAAGAAGACACTGTTGCACGGCGGTGTTTGCTTTTAGAGGACGCAAGCTTTCATAATAGCTCGCAGGTGGGTCGTTTAGAAAGAATCGAACAGGGTTGAGCATCGTTTAAACGAGAACAGTGACCACGGCTTAACTGTTCGTTTCGTACTATTATTAAGCAAATTTATGTGCCTGAAGCACCCTAACTCGGTTGCGACACGCAATAGTAACCACTCCTTCGGCGTTGCAACGGTGATGAAACGCTAACGTGCTCGCTATAATGTAGAGAAGCTATTAGGAGATAGGGAAGCATCTCGGTTCGATCTTTCTATTCGCCTTTCCTATTGAAATTGCGTAAGAACCGTACAATAAAAAAAATCGAGAGGACTAAGCAGCCACGTTGCCGCGGAATTAAATCTTTGGAAATTAAATCCAAGGAAATAAGAGGCAACAACGAAACGTTTTTCTTTGTTTGATGAGGATACGGTAGGCGGAGATGTTGTGTAGTATTTTTTCTAAGACAAATTCCCTAACATAATGGATAGTTTGCAACAGTATTTCATAGTTGCTAAAGCTCATCGCCGTCAGCGACTGGCGCGAGCACTTTTTAAAGGAGAGATTAATGATTTAAGGCAGCGGTGCGCAACCTTTTTCGTTGTTGGTCGCGTTGCATCTTCGTGGAGACCAAAATTTCACGAAATTTGGATTTGTCAGGCAAAAAGTAGCGATAAACGTTGTTTCGTTTATTTACAATTTTCTTCGGTTTTTATCGGTTTTGTGCACCGCTGAAAAGGAAGAGACTTTCATCATGAAATACTGTTGCAGTTGCTATGAAACGCCGAGGCGGACGAAGTAGCCTGATTTTCTAAAGGCTGTAGCGTGGGGAGCACGTGCAATCTGTGAAAACGTCTGTCACGTATGAAATCAGGAATGCCGGACAACGCAACGTTCCTTGGATCCTAATGGATGTGCGAGATGTGCTCGATGGACGAGTGTAGAATTTTCATTGTAGAATCAATGAAAAACGTTCAAGTTGAACTTTCGTATAAAAATAGGAATGGCGAAGTTGAAACTGTACTCGAAATTAGAAATGCTAATGGTACCTCGAAAGAAAGAATCGAAGAAGAAAGGCTCGAAGCTTTAACGTTAAAAACAAAAAAAAGTTTCTTTCTCTCGGGAAAATAGAAAAACCGCGGCATCGCCGGAATGTCCGATTATTCGCAAAATGCTACACATTCGTCGCGGGTAAGTGTGGCGCAAATGCGTGATTATGCAACAATATTAATAGGGTGAACCGCGACCGCAGGCGTAATCCACGGTAAATCGTTAATGGCGATTAGCTAATCGTGTTGGGAATCTAAACGGGCTGGTTATGCGCGGATCTTGCCTCGGGGCCGAGTGGCCTGGTGCGAGACAGATTAAATCATCCTCTTCAGCTCATCTGCTCCACTTCTTCAGGGAAGAAAGTGCAGCTACGTAACGCTGTTGCGTACAGGAGTAAATACTTCTCTTTTTTCCAAAGTTATGGAAGTAATCCTAGAATTACTGCAGCTGGATTCGCGAGGAGAATCTTTGCGGCGATCGCCTCCGTTCGCTACCGTGATTCTTTTTACATTCGCCTGTGTCTTCGTATTTAGGGAATAAAACCACCCTTCGGAGTTCACGAGACGAGATACTTTCACCTCGCATTTCGGAGCTATGTGAACTTGGCACCCGACATTTCAAAAATTAATTTTTTTTTATAGAAAACGATAGCATTTCGTTTGTACCTGATTGTACCTCCAATAGGTTCGTTTGTACCTCCACCAATTAATAATTAAACAAAATTCAAAAAATGGTCAGCACCCGACATCGAGATTTTTGAAATCGGTTTTTCCCGATTCTTTAGAATCGTTTGTATCCGTTTGTACCGCTTTTCGTTTCGTTTGTACCTCGATAGTTTAAATTTGTCCAAGCAATTGTTGATCCGCGCAAGAGTGAAGTTCGTTCATTTTCAACATATTTCAAATCTGTTTCTTCCCGATTCTTTAGAATCGTTTGTATCCGTTTGTACCGCTTTTCGTTTCGTTTGTACCTCGATAGTTTAAATTTTATAGCAATTAATATTAATATTAATTGATGGAGATACAAACGAAACTATTGGAGGTACAATCAGGTACAAACGAAATACTATCGTTTTCTATAAAAAAGAATTAATTTGTGAAAAGTCGGGTGCCAAGTTCACGTAGCTGCATTTCGTCGCGTCGCTTGAGTGTCTATTCTCTGCTTTTATTACTCTTACATCCAGTCTTCGACTATTCCTCTCATTTCGTTCTTCCATTGACTATACACACTCCTGTCGTCCAAGGTTTGTATCATCCTCCGCCTAATAGCGTAAGAGTCTAAACGAAAAATACAAGGCACGGGGATTCGAACCCCCGATCCTCGGATCCATAATTAACCGCTTTACCTCCACGACTCCTTAATCTTGGTAATAAGAGGCCCGGATACTACAATAGCCATCTTTAACATTCCACCTATCACCCGTTACATCGAGTTTAACCCTCTGTTATGTTATCTTGCCGCATCGATTACAAAAATTACCTGAAAGCTAGAGGAAAGTCGTGATGAAACCATTAGGCTTCTTATCTGGGTCAGCACGTCGAGCGAAGGAAATCATCTGGATGATAATGATACCTTGCGATTTTTCCTGGAATTGGATGCATTCGCCCATCGGATAAATCGAGAAGAGTACCTTCTGCAACGATTGTCCTTTCAACGTGCGAAACAATTCAACCACTCTAATACGGCGCCTTCGCTGCTCGATACACTCTGAAATAGAAAACGCTCGATAACGAATTCACTGATTTCGATTAGGAAACAAGGTGCACGGGGCAATTTGTAAAGTAATTTTAATAGAAAGGATGTCGATTGATACCTAACGTGCAAATGAGTACAGCATGCGAGCATAACGTACAATAGAGATTACAGTCTATTAACCTGCTATTGTTCTGCGTGATTAGGGTAACTTCCAGAGTCATACTTCAGCGAAGAAAGTCACTTGAAATTCGATACGAGTCCTTCGAGAACAATGATGGTTAAATGGTTATTCGATTATGATTCTCTAGTTATTTCTAATCCTGAACATTTTGTCTCAGCCGATGTCGTACGAGTTCGGGTACGCGGTGAAGGACCAAGCGACCGGAAATGATTTTGGGAGACGAGAGACCAGCGATGGCGAAACAGTAAGAGGGGAATACCGAGTACAGCTACCGGATGGCAGGACACAAATAGTGACTTACACCGCCGATTGGAGGACAGGCTTCCACGCAGACGTAAGGTACGAGGGCACTGCGAGCTATCCAGATCAGTACAACACGCAGAACAACGGCTACAACAACAATAACAACAACAACAATAACCAAGGTGGCCAGTTCGGGCAACAGGGCAACAATAATGGCGGAGGTTACAACAATGGAGGTCAGTGTTTAGTGTTCGTTCGATTTCTTTTCCATCGCTAAGAAACACTCTAAAGAAACGTCGACTGTGAAGTATTATAAAATCGGTATTATACTTCGTCAAAAGTTATTAGTGTTTTGTTGTTCGAAGGAAACAACGGAGGCTACAATTACCAAGCCCCTGGTGGGAATTTCAACAACGGTAACAACGCTTACAAACCCTTTAATGGAAACTACAACAACGGAAACACTGGCAACAACTACCAACACTCCAACGGAAACAATGGCAACAATTATCCGTTCAACGCTAATTCTTTGGACAACAGCTACAACTTTGGCGCTAGAAACGGTTACAACACGCGGGCTCCGTCGCCTACGTATGGACCAGCTTTCCATTGACTTTAGTACAATTTCAATTGCGCTAGGATAAGAAACGTCCTGTAAGGCTAGCTCTTTTATAATAAAACAATTTTTTATGACGTACGGGGAATCTATCATTTATTTATTTACCAAACGCTGGATCCAAGCTCGCAGCGCTGCTCACGATACTTACTCAACGCTACTTAGCACAATAAAACCGACAACTAAAACCATCTAGCGTTAAGAGTGGACACCATTAGCCTTCAAACTTTTGCGTCGTCGATAGGTTTAAAATTAATTCAGTCTGATGGATGTAAAAGGAAGCGGCAATAGTTTCTGCATTCCTAAGAGAGTTTTGCCTCTGTAAACCAACACTGTGACACCCACGCATCCAGTATTTCTATCCTAGCAACCCTATTGTGTACGAGCGCACATGTGCGGCTGTCAGTTATAATTAGCGATAATTATGTCGGGATTAATTAAGCATAGTACTCCCCGGCAGCGCGTATCGAGTTCTAGCGTGGATAACGCAACTGGGTGGTTACGAAATTAGATTAAGAAATGAATTAGCACCGGGCAACCGTAAATACGGGGCCTGAGCCGAAGGCGAATAATTATAATAAATGGACGGGGTACCATCGTTGCGAGCAAACGTGCCCGGCGAGACGATACGGTTTGCGCAATCCTTGATTAATGGACGATCGATAGCGATGCTCGAGTAGAGACCTAAAGCAGAGATGCCAGATTTTCGCTCAGAAATAAATATTTAGTAGTCGGTTAGTTAGTCGCGAGTAATAGCGAGGCTGCGAACTTGTAAATAATTAGAATTACGATTAAGTAGTCATTGAAGACGTTTGGGTACGTATGTAAGTGATGGAGGTTAGAAACATAAGACACGGGGAGCCGCGGGTTGAATCTGGCATCTCTAACCTGGAGGTGCTCTTCAGTGATTTAGAGAGGCGGTGGACGTTGTCGGAGCTTGACACTGAACTAAGCGAGACCCGTGTGAAGCTGGCCCTACCTATATGAAAAACTCAAAATTTTCTTTTTGCGTACGTTTGCTCATCGTTTGCTCAAGTGGAATTTTCGTTTGTCTCTCTTTAGTTCAAAAGATACAGACGATTGTTTATACGCCCAAGAGGGAACTATGTCAATTATTAACGAAA